AACTTTTAGTTAGCAATTGGCTCAGACTTGGTATTAAAGAAAATTACTTTAATGCTTGGCAATATATCAAACTTTGCAATAGTGTTTCATTTTTTAGATGGTGCAAAGAATAATGCATTTACAAGTACAGTGAGGGAAAAAAGTATTTGATCCCCTGCTGATTTTATACGTTTGCCCACTGACAAAGAAATGATCAGTCTATAATTTTAATGGTAGGTTTATTTGAACAGTGAGAGACAGAATAACAACAAAAGCCAGAAAAACGCATGTCAAAAATGTTATGAATTAATTTGCATTTTAGTGAGGGAAATGAGTATTTGACCCCTCTGCAAAACATGACTTAGTACTTGGTGGCAAAACCCTTGTTGGCAATCACAGAGGTCAGACGTTTCTTGTAGTTGGCCACCAGGTTTGCACACATCTCAGGAGGGATTTTGTCCCACTCCTCTTTGCAGATCTTCTCCAAGTCATTAAGGTTTTGAGGCTGACGTTTGGCAACTCGAACCTTCAGCTCCCTCCAAAGATTTTCTATGGGATTAAGGTCTGGAGACTGGCTAGGCCACTCCAGGACCTTAATGTGCTTCTTCTTGAGCCACTCCTTTGTTGCCTAGGCCGTGTGTTTTGTGTCATTGTCATGCTGGAATACCCATCCACGACCCATTTTCAATGCCCTGACTGAGGGAAGGAGGTTCTCACCCAAGATTTGACGGTACATGGCCCTGTCCATCGTCCCTTTGATGCGGTGAAGTTGTCCTGTCCCTTTAGCAGAAAAACAACCCCAAAGCATAATATTTCACCTCCATGTTTGATGGTGGGGATGATGTTCTTGGGGTCATAGGCAGCATTCCTCCTCCAAACACGGCGAGTTGAGTTGATGCCAAAGAGCTCCATTTTGATGTCATCTGACCACAACACTTTCACCCAGTTGTCCTCTAAATCATTCAGATGTTCATTGGCAGACTTCAGACGGGCATGTATATGTGCTTTCTTGAGCAGGGGGACCTTGCGGGCGCTGCAGGATTTCAGTTCTTCACGGCATAGTGTGTTCCAATTGTTTTCTTGGTGAATATGGTCCCAGCTGCCTTGAGATCATTGACAAGATCCTCCCGTGTAGTTCTGGGCTGATTCCTCACCGTTCTCATGATCATTGCAACTCCACGAGGTGAGATCTTGCATGGAGCCCCAGGCCGAGGGAGATTGACAGTTATTTTGTTTTTCTTCCATTTGCGAATAATCGCACCAACTGTTGTCACCTCACCAAGCTGCTTGGCAATGGTCTTGTAGCTCATTCAGCCTTGTGTAAGTCTACAATCTTGTCCCTGACATCCTTGGAGAGCTCTTTGGTCTTGGCCATGGTGGAGAGTTTGGAATTTGATTGATTGCTTCTGTGGACAGGTGTCTTTTATACAGGTAACAAGTTGAGATTAGAAGCACTCCCTTTAAGAGTGTGCTCTTAATCTCAGCTCGTTACCTGTATAAAAGACACCTGGGAGCCAGAAATCTTTCTGATTGAGAGGGGGTCAAATACTTATTTCCCTCATTAAAATGCAAATCAATTTATTACATTTTGACATGCGTTTTTCTGGATTTTCTTGTTATTCTGTCTCTCACTGTTCACATAAACCTACCATTAAAATTATAGACTGATCATTTCTTTGTCAGTGGGCAAACGTACAAAATCAGCAGGGGATCAAATACTTTTTTCCCTCACTGTACATTGCCTTTTTCACAATCTGTTATCATTTCATGGGCAATATTTCAGCTAATGTTCTTTGGTGACAACCACGTGTATGTAGATAGTGACACGTGGCATGTAATTTTATGTTACGAATATCAGTTTTAAAAAAAACATTTTCCGCAATGTGTTTTTGTTCCTTCATCGTAAGAATCTTGATTCATGTTACGTTTCTACTTTTGTACGATTGTTTCTCTCTTGATTAAACATTTATGGGAAGGTTAAAGCAAAGGGAACACTAATAATTGCATTTCAATATGCATTGCAATTCCAATCCCAGGGCTCTGCTTGCTTTTCAGAACACATCATTTAATGATGGTATGGAAGAGGCATTTACTATTGGCCCTTGAAGACCTCTGTTGTTATTCCTTTACAAGTTTTCACTTCGAGGATAAAAAAAAATTGCACATTGGAGAAGAAACTACTCAACATGTTGAAAACCCTCGGTTTCGATGACTGTTAAAGACTGGGATTCGCGGTGATGATGTCGGCGCAGCTGGCTTCACTGCGGTGACATTTGCAGGGGCATTAGCACTGAGCCACATGGCTACCTCGCAGGACCACAATATCTCGATTGGAATTGCTTTTTTGTCCTGAATGGCGAAAAGGTCAACGTGAATACTCCAGAGAACTGTCAGAGCAGTGGAGATGCAACGTTCAACCAAATCTCCCCCCCCTCCGCCGCTAGCATTGCATTGGGTTTACGCCTAATTGACAAAAAAGATACACAGCTATTCTATAAAGTGGCCAATTGTGGTCACGGTTGGCTACGTACGGTGCGAAAGAATTTCAACATACAACTTGAAGAACCACTGAAAATACGTTTTGTGTGTGCACCATATGTGACTATCATTTGTTTTCACTGTCAGATGAGGTTAATCCAAAGTAGAAATTAATTAAATCTGAAACGTAATCAAGAAGGTTAACGTATGCTTGGAGATGCGTGAAAATTGTCACCGTCAAACTGTTGGAAATATTTTGCCTGTGCCATCACCTCAATGTCACACAATAAAATCCAGACCAGAAGATACATTTTGAATTAGGCATCCAGCATGGACCTCTTGCCACCTTGAATCCCTGCAGATTACCTTAGTCCTTTATTAACCCCCTAACGATGCCTGGAGCTTGCAAGTGGACTGTCTGCAGACTCATGGTTGAGGACTCCTATACTAGTTAATATTACTGGTAGGAAACGTAGTGTACTGGAAGCCCAACCGAGATTAATTCACAGGAGGCAGGGGATTAATTGTGTATGTCTGTGGAAGTCTGTCCACGTGGGAGGGCTGGGGGAGGGGCTGGGTGGGGAGGGGTGGGGAGAGGCTGGGTGGGGAGGGGCTGGGTGGGGAGGGCGTGGGGTGGGAGGGGTGGGATGGGGCTGGTCACCCCATGGTGCCCTTATATGGAATGGAAGCCCAACCGGGATTAATTGACAGGAGGCAGGGGATTGTGTATGTCTGTGGATGTCTGTCCACCTGTATCCGGACACCCGGATATATAACAAATGCGCTCCTAATGGGCATTACTGGTAGGAAAATATTCCTACCAGACCCCTCCGCAGAAATGTGTTTAAGAACATTAAGGACCAACATAGATTGGTTCACTTGAACTGTTGTCAGGAAATTTTGATTTAAAGCTTTCGTGACTGCAGGGATTCATATTCTTGGTTCTTTCGGTAAAGTCACGTAGAAGGTAGACAATACATTTTTTATAATATTATTATTTTATTGTTTCCCTTCTACGTGACTTTACCAAAAGATCCAAGAATATGTTGTCAGGAAGTGTCACATTCACCTCTGCCAACATGGATTGTTCCGTCAAAACCATCAATGCAAATAAATGCTCAGGAATTGTGCGTGTGTTAATTAATTATTTACACTCGACGTTTTGGTCGATAATATTTTGATTTGTATTCCAACTGACTGATGCCCAGCTTCGAGGCCTCAATTTTTCAGACATTCCTGAATAAACAACTCTACTTCATCATTGGACATTTCAGCCGAATGTTTTGCGTTAAGCTAGACCATTGTAGGGAGAAACTGGGAAGTCGTCTGATGTCGCCTCCACATTGTTCTATTGTGAGGACTACAGAACTGGCACGTGTTTCCCACGGTAGATATACAGTCGTTGCTGAAAAACACAGATGGCGTATGCTTGTGTCAGAACATCATTACTCCACCTGTCATATTTGAGATCTACTGAATATATATTTCGATGTTGACGCCATGAAAGAATGAAGAGGTTTTAAAAAGCATCGTTTTGGATTTCGCCTAAAAGTATACATAGGCGAGTTTCTTGATTACCCCGAAAGTACAATTTGGCAATTTAAGAGATGTAACTCTAAGCAGAAATCTTCTGATGATTTACAGCGTTTCCACGTGTATCGAAATGGTACTTGAATATAATTCGCAATTCATGTGTTTAATCACACATTTATTTCAGAACTTGTAATTGTATTACAATCAAACCGTTGATAAGGATTTTCTTGATTTAAATCCCTTGAAGATATTTTTTTTCCTGTAAGTGGCCGACGACATCGGTGTTAATTAGGCAAGCTCATACATGCATAGTTATTAAATAGAGCCCCACATCTGTTGCCATGGTTCTGCCTGGGGTGTATTACCATTCACGTATAGACCCGTGTTAATTAGCGACTACACCCCTTTTTCTCTGTAGCTCAGTGCACAATTCTGCTGGTAATTGTCTGCTTTTCGGATTGTTTCTGTTGGCATGAATCAGTTGAAACACTCCTGGTTATTTTCCAAGTTACCAGATTAAGCTAGTAGGTGCAAACCACTGCCAGACTACACCGACGCAACGGTTTAACGTCCGCAGCCGACTAGTAATTATGAATGGAAAATACTGCAGTCTGTATCGTGCTGTAATGTGGACATGAAAACTGCATTACAAGGGTATTTAGCTAGTTCCCAAATCAAATATTGATCTGAAACTAGAGTACGGTTATATGAATGACAACAATAGTTATCTGTTTAAAATTGATACCAGGATAGCTTTTAGATATATTTTAATAATGTATTTGTATGCTGACGTTTAATCGACTTAACCTGTGACAAAAAGGACAGAAGAAAGAAAAGTGGCCGACGGTAAAACGCGTACGTTGGCTACAACCACTTGCGTGCCGTGCCAACTTTGAAAGTGTTTTCTGACGGCAAATGCCCCAACAATGTACAAGGCTGAACAGGAGATGGTTGTCCTTTTGCATGCTTGTGCCATAGGTGAGCAGCGTGTGTTTGTGGTTGTGTTGCAGAAATCGAGCCATTGCAGACTATCTCCGCTCGAATGGTTACGAGGAGGCGTACACCACCTTCAGGAAGGAGGCTGAATTGGACAATGTGCGTAAGAACGCAGCCGCGTCACAGTTATGCGATCACATACCGGTAACACGCGTGCGTTGTACAACGTTGAACACGGCGATTGCGCTCCAGTGGCACGTGTCCTTTATATTTTTGAACACTTTCACGGCAGGGGCATTCGATGGAATGTGATGCTTTGCAACCTTGCGAAATGAACTTTTGCGAACAAGTGAATGTAAGCTGCTCGAGTAGGTAATTGTCTGGTAGTGTTATTAACCCATGTAGGAAATTGTGGCTTCTTTGCCTCCAAAATGGCTTTAAAAATTTCCAATGTGCTGTCTTCCACAGTGCCACCACACTGTTATTTCCATTCACATCTCATTTTCTGTCACGTGACATACAAGTGTGCAGAGATAAACTGATCATTTCACAGTCATTAATTCATTTCTGAAGTACATTCTTAAATGTGGAATGAAATATGCTTTAATGTTTTCCCTTTGGGTACTTGTTACCGTATTGCATTATCCGTAAACACATTTTGACTTAGCTACATCATGGGACCTCCTTTGCCAGTACAAAAATATGAGAATAGGTTTTCCCCTTTTTTCTGGCAACAAAACAGGTGTTAAGATGGTAAAACACCAAACTGAAACCTTTTATAAGGCATCATGTCTGCATTAACCACAATACTTGTGGTCAGAATGCAAACAAAAACAATTCTCTGATAATATATGCATGGACTTTGAAACTGATTGGTCCACACCATAGACAGCTTTCAAGCGCTGTAGAGGACGCCAAAAGGCATACACAGCGCTGTACGCCTTTTGGCGTCCTCTGGTCGAACACCATTTGAGATGAGGCTCAAAAGAAAGCTGTCTCTGGTGTGGACCAATCGGTTTCAAAGACAATGCATATATTATCAGTGTTTTGTTTGCATTCAGACCACAAGTATTGTGGTTAATGCAGACATGATTCCTTGTTTTAACATCTTAACACCTGTTTTGTTGCCAAAAAAAAATGGAAAACCTATTCTCACAGCTTGACTTGGTTGACATTGCACACCCTTCTGCACAGCTTGAGTGTGCCGTGCACAAAGGAATCTCAGTAAATGCTATTTTGGTTCCTCCGAGGAGAGATGAGGCTGCATCTGCCATTCACAGAATGAAACACCCCTTTATAACCATATATACGCCACTGATTGTTTCTTTTCATTAAATTATTGTCTTGTGTTCAATTGGAAATTAGACTGACACCTTCCTACAAAGGAAACCAGGGTAACCATCGATACAGAGGGACCGTTTATCAGTGCACAAAGCAGTATGAAGAAGGTCCATGCTTGGAATTGCACGGAAAGACAGAGGAACATGTGGACGAGAAGATGCAAGCAAGTTCTAAACATAATATTGACTGACGATATGTACGTGGACTATGGCAGGACATGCACTGCAAGCAATGATGGCTAGTAGTTGAAGCGCCCTTGAGTAACACCCACCGTGTGGAGATGGAGCTATCAAAATAGTTTGTGCAGGTGCTTAAAAGGATTGTTAGATTGCAAAAACAATGTCATTGATTTTGGGTAATTTATTTAAGAAGACTAAAGTCACTAATTTGGGTGTTACTTTTACAGATCTACTGTTCAATTCTTCCTAAATGGATATAAGTTTGTCATACAAGGCATGCCATATTTGCAGTCGGTGAATTACCATAATCATATAGCAGTTTGCATAATAGTGGAATCATTCCAATGTCATATATCAATCTATTTTAATAAGAACATGTTCAGGTTTAATGGCACTAAGTGTCTTAATTCAGGAACCAGCTATCATAGTTATGTAAAAAAAATACCTTGCATGGTTTGTACACATTGCTCTTCCTACAGCCCGGCTAATTTAAATCAAAACTGCGCCTTGCCAATATTTCTGATTAGTTTAATTGTCTCAGTGACAACCACGCTTCCTTCACACATATTTTTGCTGGGGTGTGTTAGAAATCTTGGATCTGTTTATTGAGTGCCACCAAGACATTTACCCTGTACTTTGCTGGTGAATATTAAGCAGGCTGTGGGGCACCTGTTGTAAGAGATTGTGGTACTGTCTGTAATAAGAATGTAATATATGGTGTTTGATGTTTTAAAAACACAAAGCTACTCTACCCTGATATTGACTTTCATTAAAAGCACCACGTAAGCACCCGATTGCGTGTGCACGCACCTGACACTAATTGTTTGATGTGTCCGAATGGATTTTTTGGGTTGTTTCTCAAATAATATAGTGTTGGTGTGTATCTGATGCTCACGTTTGCCTTGTTTTGTAGAATGAAGAGCTGGATAAAAAGTTTGCTGGACTGTTGGAGAAGAAGTGGACTTCTGTCATTAGGCTACAGAAAAAGGTGATTAGATGTGATGGCGCATATGGAACCTGCGAACCATATTTAGAAGAGCAAAGCCACTGGACTGCATGGTTGCTTAGGAACATCGTGCATGAGCAGGTTTACCATGACATTCACACACGGAAACTTCTCAAAGTGCAGAGACAATGCGTGGACATTTCCTTCAAAGGCATCTGCTGTAAATTCTTTACATTTTAAGGTGACATTTTCTACATGATGCATGACTCCGTGCCCTTGCATGCATGTTCATACCAGCTTTGTACAGTTTATAAGGCTGTTGGCTAAGAATTAGGCTTTTAAGTTACCCTAAGAGAGGATGTTACATGGTACTTCTGTGTTTATACATCATCGTTTCTATTTTATTAGTAAAATAGGCATTCAGGCTTCTTTCCCAGTTAGTTCCATTTCCATAGTTCCATTTATTTGGTATAGCCCTGTGAGCCATTCAGCTCTTGAATCGGGTGCAACCGCAACAAACAAAAAACAAAAACATGAACAAGAAAACATCTTAAAGTGACTATGTGACTGTGCAAACAGAAAACCCAGGATAAAACATCAAAATATTCCTGAAATAGCACCGTACACCAACGCTGTGTGCAAAAATCCCAGTGGGATGCAAGTCAAACAACAACAACAATCACAAGACAACTAAGATTAAGGCCATCAGTCTAACTTTGTACTACAATAAACAAAAACAAGGCCAAACCAAAAAACTTTTCGAAATCACCAAAATAAAGCCATAAATGCAATGTAACAGTGATCATAGGGACTGTGACCAAATTTTTAACAATAAACTACATAAATAACATGTAACACCAAACCCTAGAGCCATAGCTGGCTGCATGAGTCACTCCACAACAACAGGAGCATCAGTTGGAGTATCACATTTTTCAATGCACCTTTAAGATCAGCACGATAAATCAAAATACAGATAATACTTTGCAGCGGTCATCCGGAGCAAAACATTTTTTTTTCAGTTAATGGGGATACCTACCCACCGGAGAACATGTTAGTATTCTTAAACTAATATAAAATCACAAAGCATGTATTATATGGCATTTTAACCCAAAAGACAATCCTAATTTGCTTTATATTTGGGGCATAGATATAGTTTATGTTCTCCACTATCGACGGCATTCATTATTTTGTGTCCGAACTGAGACGTACATGAGGCATACTTGGGCAAGGCAGGGTCCATGCTACGTTGAATCGAGCGTGTATGTATATTGAACTTCTATCGCACCGTACGTAGCCAAACGTGCTAACCGGAGGTGTGGGGGAGGGAAGGACAACAAACTAAACAAAAAAAATTATTCTAAAGAAATTAGTTTTCAATCGAGATTTAAAAGTGCACAGCTCCAGTGGCTTCCGAATATTGGAATGGGATGAGTGTTCTAGACTGCCGCAGAAGCGCATCTGAGAGCGGCGTGATGCCGCTGCTCCTGCGAGGATGACCGGAGTTGGTGCGGCGACGGTGGTTCATGCTCCTCTGTCTGGCAGGTGATGGAGCTGGAGTCGAAGTTGAACGAGGCGAAGGAGGAGTTTGTGTCGGGCGGGGGGCCCCTCGGGGGCCAGCGACGCGACCCCAGCGAGTGGATCCCGCGCCCGCCAGAAAAGTACGCGCTGAGCGGGCACCGCAGCCCCGTGACACGCGTCATCTTCCACCCCGTGTTCAGCGTCATCGTGTCCGCCTCGGAGGACGCCACCATCAAGGTGCGTTGCGCCGGCGCAAACCGCGTGTTTTTTGGTTCCACCTCTCGTCCCAAATGATTTGCCGTGCCTTTTGTTGTTGCCTTGTACCGATTAGCACGGTCATCTACATACGGCTAAGAATGACGTTCAACGTACGTATGAACGTAAGGCATGGTCGGCTTTACTGTAGCCTCATTTACTGACAATTGGAGGTGAGGTAATTTAAATTAGATCTTTGGCCTTTATGCTCATGTGTTGAGACCTAATGTTTATTTTTGAAGGTCGACCTGATTTTGAATTAATCAAAAGAACACATTCTTATGTATAAAAACACCATTTGAAAGTAACACTTGCCAATAAAAAAAAGTGATTGACAGCATCGTCCCCTAAACAACTGTTCACCTGTGTTTTAGCTAAACAAATTAGTCGCATGAAGTGGGAGTGCTTAAAGCGTTAATGGCAGATTGTGCTGCTGAGATGTGGTTTCTGGGGAGTTGAGTAATCTTGAACAGGTGCTAGAACGATTCTGTGATTCCTTTTTTTTTTATTTTTGCCGAGGTCTGTGTCCTGGTGCTGCGAGAGAGTAGGAACTCCTTCCGTGGTTTCGTCACGTTTTTGGCACGCACTGGCGTTTGTGAGGGTGTGACCAACAGATGTGTTTTGTTGAGGGTACAATGTGTGTGTTTCCATGGTGATTGGTTCGGTTGAGTGCAGTGATCCGTTAACCGAAGAGTCCTAATAAAATGCATTGCCATTGCTAAGGCAATTGCATCACACAAGATCCATTGCAGTATGCAAAGTTTCCAAAGTAACATTGTTAATTTTTATTTGCAGTTTTATACATCTAAAATGCCATTTTTAGGAAGTGTAGTTCATGTACAAATTTTACTTCACATCATCTTGAGCTCAAATTGTAATACTGTTTGTCCAGTCTTGTATCTGTTTTGATACTGCTTCCGTGTTATAATTGCAATACAGTTACACGGGAGCGATTGGATTGATTTGCCTATGGTGACCTCGTTGTGTGGGTTGATGCGTGCAGGTGTGGGATTACGAAACGGGCGACTTTGAGCGCACCTTGAAGGGACACACGGACTCTGTGCAAGACATCTCCTTCGACCTCTCGGGCAAGATGCTGGCCTCCTGCTCAGCCGACATGACCGTCAAACTCTGGGACTTCCAGAGCTTTGAGTGCCTGCGCACGATGCACGGTGCGCCACTACCACCTTTCCTTTGCAGACGTTTAGACTGCTCGTGTTGCTCCTCAATCTGGTTAGCCTCCACGGAATTTTGTACGTTGCATGGACGCTTCAACACACCGTCGTATTCTACACACCACGAGAAATTAACCTGCAAGCTCGCCTTAGAATGAGCAGAGAGCAAAAACCGCACCCTCGCCATAAACCTTCAGATCGGTCAATCTCATTTTCAGACCTACCGCCTAACACCTCACTGATCGGATCACGCCATACCATCACCTGGTATGACATATATACGCAAACTTTATAGCCAGGCAAGATCCAGTTGAGAAGGAGACTTGGGGTGCAATGACTATAGAAAGACAGATTATACAAGTTTAGAAAACAAAGGTTAGGGAAAAACAATAAATCTCAACAAAATACATGTAAATAAATATAAAATGCAGCATGCTAACCTTGCACTTCTTGAAAGTGGGAAGAGACACCATTACCTTTCTGCAGGATTTTCAAAATTTTCCTCAACTTGGAATTCCATCGGGCGGTTGTCTGCACAAGAAATGTTTAGAATCAAAAACGCTCTCCTGGGGGTGAGGTCAGGGGGGTGGGCATTACCTGGACATCTGTGAAAAAGAGCTTTATAGATAATCGGATTCTTCCAGTATAATTAAATATTCTGATAATGCATGCACACAACACAGCCTCTTGCATCACGTCCTCCTGCTTTCTTCTCAGATTTGTCTTTCTTTTGGGGACCCCTTAGCCAAAAGTTTCATTCCGAATATTGAAATAAATAAAAACACCGCAGTGAGCCCAGGAACCATGGCTGCTTGTCTCTCCTCACAACTCGCTGTCGCCGTGCGTTCCGCAGGCCACGACCACAACGTGTCCTCGGTGGCCTTCATGCCAAATGGAGACCACCTGGTGTCGGCCTCGCGCGACAAGACCATGAAGATGTGGGAGGTGCAGACTGGGTGCGTGTCATGCACACACTTGCTCCCACATAGGTTCCTTTAGTTCAGTGGTTCTCAACCTTTACTGCAGCCTTGAAAACCTTTGTTTCTCAATCGTAAAAAAAGTATAATGTTAATAAATACATAGGTTTGATGAAACAAAGTATTTGCACTTACGTGGCCATGCTTAATTTGTTTCAATGATTTACCTTAAAAAAAAAATCTGGCCATGTCTCGCACCCCCAGAAAGGGCATCTTGCACCCACAGGGGGTGCGTGCACCCCATGTTAAAAACCACAGCTTTAGAGAATTCAGCATGTTTTTCTACTTAATTGTTTTTTTTTATTCTACAAGATCCTGGGCAGAATGTGAGCAATAACAATGAAAGGAGGCATGGAAATTCCGTGAGCAGAAGCCCGAACACAGAGTTGGGGGGGGGGGAAGGCAGAAAAAGAGAATGCAGCCTTTTAATCCAAAGGCCTTTCCCTTGTTTGAAATGGATTTCTGATACTGGATATCCATCTGACACGCATTCCAGAGTTTCACAATAGCATGTAATGACTCGGATTAGTTTGTTCTTATGCGCAAAAGAAACGTGTAATAATGTAAGAAATCCTATAAGAACATTCTTACACATTTTTTTGAACAGTGTATTCTTGTTTCTCTTTTTATTATATTTTATTCGCTTTAGGGGAATGGCCAGAACCAATGAGACAGACAACACTGGGCATGCAAGACCACACAACATACAATTGTATAAAGCCTCTTGAAGAATTACGTTGCGATCCCGAATTGAAGCCTTTCATTAAATCTCTGTTGACATGTCTAGCTCTTGTTCCCTGTAGGCGGTGTTCATGATGAGTCAAGAGGGGACCCCCCCCCCCACTCCACCGTCTTGATACGTGCTTGTGTTCCCCCCTGGCTTGCGGTGACAGATACTGCGTGAAGACGTTCACGGGCCACCGCGAGTGGGTGCGCATGGTCCGGCCCAATCAGGACGGGTCGCTCATCGCCAGCTGCTCCAACGACCAGACTGTGCGCGTGTGGGTGACGGCCACCAAGGAGTGCAAGGCAGAACTGCGCGAGCACGAGCACGTGGTGGAGTGTGTGAGCTGGGCGCCCGACGCCGCCTCGCCCGTCATCTTGGAGGCCACCGGTGCCGAGGTTCGTAGCTTGGGAGAGGAGCAATAAAGTATTTTTTTCTTTTTTTCTTCAAACAGTCGCTTTGCTACTGTCAACCACATGCAACCCCCCCCCTCTTTTTTCTCCTACATGGGTATCAGAGCTTAGGAAGACACCAGGGGGTTGTAGAGTTTATTGAAACAGTTTATTGAAACATGCTGTTTAGACAGGTTTCCATTGCACTGTAATCCTCAATGTGTGTTGTGCTCATGTCAACCTCCTTTCTTATTCTCTGTGTACCTGAATCCTTTTCGTTTCCAAAATACTTTTTTAAAACAAAAGAGGTTGGTGAGAGGGATCACAATTGTCTCGACGATGGGCTCGCTTGGATGCCACTACACCGCCAAACACTTGTGTTCGTCAGCCCAGTGACCGGCTGCATCAACACTGCTTGTCTGTTTCAAAAGGTTTAGCGACAAGGCTGTCGCCCATGGTGTGATTTTGCTTGGATGATACAATGATAATATACTTTATTTAACCACGACAAACCTTGGAGATTCACATCTCAGTTCCATGTCAATAAAACTTACAAAATATGCAAACACAACTAACATTAAAATATAACAGTGAAAAAGACGTTGAGGTGATAATGTGAATTTCCGATTTGATTTGTGAAAGGCCACCAAGGGGACTTATTATTTGCTGTTTTCTTCATTGGAGTATTTGAACATAATTTCAACAGCAACTTGCAATGGTATATATATTTTTTAAATTGCCTGTAGCTCTTTAAAACTGTGCGTTTATTTTCCAGGCTAAGAAGGGTGGCAAGCCTGGGCCGTACCTGCTGTCAGGATCTCGGGATAAAACTATCAAGATGTGGGACATCAGCACAGGCATCTGTGTCATCACACTGGTGGGTTCTCTCTCAACAGACCCATTCTGAAGGCATGGAACTTCGCGGCTAAGCGAGAGGACTGTGCGAACCTCATGCTGTATGCGTAGCTGATATAATTAGGCGAGAATGTAAAATAACCCTAGTGTTATGATGCCATTTGATGTAGTTACTGTTGAATCTACATTACGGTGGGACTTCCATTTTTAAATGTTTGGCACATTACCTATTTGTTGATTTTTTCCAACTAGTTTGTATTTAATGAAGTAAAAGATACGTTTCTGTTTCACCACGTTAAAATAATATGACATTGGTTCATACGCTCTGTGAGTGTTCCGGACAAATGCTTCAACAGAGTTTGCTTCAGCAGGCAAACTCTGGTCGGGTTTAGAATTTCTGATCGCATCAGCATAGGAATGGACGTGATGTACAGTGTTAATGTGGGAAATCTGAGATTGTGTAATGGAGCTTAGATCACAAGCTTGTCACAATGATTCTTCATAATAAGGGCCGCGATTTAGATCATTCCAACCACTATTTTGGCACTTCTGCATCGCTCGTATTGTGCAAGCTCCACCGCTTGCCGTGTTGTTGCTCGCAGGTTGGGCATGACAACTGGGTACGTGGCGTGCTGTTCCACCCGGGTGGAAAGTTCATTTTGAGCTGCGCCGATGACAAGACTCTGCGCGTGTGGGACTACAAGAACAAGCGCTGCCAGAAGAGCCTGGCCGCACACGAGCACTTTGTGACCTCCTTGGGTGCGTCCCCACCTCGACCCCTCCCCCGCATTGACCCTTCCCCCACCTCGACCCCTCCCCTGCCTCGACCCCTCCCCCCTCTATGCCACCCTCCTGCCCACCCCTCCTGTCCACCTGCTCTAGAACTGACCGATTGTGGCTACTGGGAGAGGTCGAGTGCAATGAACTGATTGACTATTGACTACAGCTGACACGCTTGGTATTTCAAGGGTTCCTTTCCCTGGTGATTTTTGCCAAGACACGCGAGTTATTTCTTACACGATGGAATATTTTTTTTTACTGAGGAAAATTATGCTTTGGCCAATCTGAAAGAAAAGTGCCAACATTTTGGCTTAACTTTCGTGACTGCAGGAATTCATATTCTTGGTTCTTTCGGTAAAGTCACGTAGATAGAAAATACATTTTTTAAATAATATAAAAATAATGCATTGAAAATAATAAGAGCAAAAAACCCACGACGTTTTGATCGCCAACACAAGCGGTCTTCATCAGGCGGAGAGAAGAGAGGGGGCAAGCCTCCAAATGCAACTGCTTCTAAGGGCTTTCAAAGTGAGCAAAGCTGTGCGGCGTAAACAGCACGGGCGGTGTAGCCAGCGCCAATGTAAGAGCAAAGCACCACAGTGCAAGTAGTACAAGTAATAGTAATAGGGTTTTACCACTTTTATCTGGCATCAAAACTGCCACCTTTATACAAGGGATCATGTTTGCAATAACCACAACACAAGCAGTCAAAATGCAAACAAAAAGAATACTCTGATAATGATATGCACTGTCCTTGAAATTGATTGGTCCACGCCCGAGACGGCTTTTCCTAGTCTCCACTGGTGTTGGACCAGATGACGCCAAAAGGCGTACAACTCAAAAACAGCGCACTATCAGAGTATTGAGAGCTCAGGGTAAGCATTTACATTATGAGACCTCCTTTACCAGTAGCAAGATATAGTAATAGATATACAGTGAGGGAAAAAAGTATTTGATCCCCTGCTGATTTTGTATGTTTGCCCACTGACAAAGAAATGATCAGTCTATCATTTTAATGGTAGGTTTATTTGAACAGTGAGAGACAGAATAACAACAGAAAAATCCAGAAAAATGCAGGTCAAAAATGTTATGAATTGATTTGCATTTTAATGAGGGAAATAAGTATTTGACCCCTCTGCAAAATATGACTTAGTACTTGGTGGCAAAATCCTTGTTGGCAATCACAGAGGTTAGACGTTTCTTATAGTTGGCCACCAGGTTTGCACACATCTCGGGAGCGATTTTGTCCCACTCCTCTTCCAAGTCATTAATGTTTCGAGGCTGACGTTTGGCAACTCGAACCTTCAGCTCCCTCCACAGATTTTCTATGGGATTAAGGTCTGGAGACTGGCTAGGCCACTCCAGGACCTTAATGTGCTTCTTGAGCCACTCCTTTGTTGCCTTGGCCGTGTGTTTTGGGTCATTGTCATGCTGGAATACCCATCCACGACCCATTTTCAATGCCCTGGCTGAGGAAAGGAGGTTCTCACCCAAGATTTGATGGTACATGGCCCCGTCCATCGTCCCTTTGATCCGGTGAAGTTGTCCTGTCCCCTGAGCAGAAAAACACCCCCAAAGCATAATGTTTCCACCTCCATGTTTGACGGTGGGGATGGTGTTCTTGGGGTCATAGGCAGCATTCCTCCTCCTCCTCCAAACACAGCGAGTTGAGTTGATGCCAAAGAGCTCCATTTTGGTCTCATCTGACCACAACACTTTCACCAAGTTGTCCTCTGAATCATTCAGATGTTCATTGGCAGACTTCAGACGCACATGTATATGTGCTTTCTTGAGCAGGGGGACCTTGCGGGCACTGCAGGATTTCAGTCCTTTACGGCGTAGTGTGTTACCAATTGTTTTCTTGGTGACTATGGTCCCAGCTGCCTTGAGATCATTGACAAGATCCTCCCGTGTAGTTCTGAGCTGATTCCTCACCATTCTCATGATCATTGCAACTCCACGAGGTGAGATCTTGCATGGAGCCCCAGGCCGAGGGAGATTGACAGTTCTTTTGTTTCTTCCATTTGCGAATAATCGCACCAACTGTTGTCACCTTCTCACCAAGCTGCTTGGCAATGGTCTTGTAGCCCATTCCAGCCTTATGTAGGTCTGCAATCTTGTCCCTGACATCCTTGGAGAGTTTGGAATCTGATTGACTGCTTCTGTGAACAGGTGTCTTTTATACAGGTAACAAGCTGAGATTAGGAGCACTCCCTTTAAGAGTGTGCTCCTAATCTCAGCTCGTTACTTGTATAAAAGACACCTGGGAGCCAGAAATCTTTCTGATTGCGAGGGGGTCAAATACTTATTTCCCTCATTAAAATGCAAATCAATTTATAACATTTTTGACCTGCGTTTTTCTGGATTATTTTTGTTATTCTGTCTCTCACTGTTCAAATAAACCTACCATTAAAATTATAGACTGATCATTTCTTTGTCAGTGGGCAAATGTACAAAATCACCAGGGGATCAAATACTTTTTCCCTCACTGTAGTAATAGTACAAGTAAAGCGAGTGCGTTAGACAATGGGGTGAGGGAGGGCAACTAACGTTTTTGCAAACGGATAAACAAGGCCAAATTCTTTATGAAATTGTGCGCCGGCATGATGAACAAAATCTTTAATACACACTCGTGTCTGTTTTAGCGCACTATAGCTGATAAAGATAATGGTGTGTATTATTTTTTCTTCTTTTAAAATGAATTTTGCATTCGTAGGAATATGAGGTGTGTTGGATGGGATGTGTGTAGAGGATGGAGGGCAGGTGACAGGATGGGTTATGGAGTGACACCAGATTTTCCCGACTTGGGAAACTTGAAAGCCAAATAGTTGGGATGAGATGAAAGCAGACCTTGGTTAAGTGTTTACCGTGAAGCAAAACAATACGTGGATAAACACCAATTTCACCAATTTAAAACCACGTAGTGTTTGTCTTTTTACCAAAGAAGCCTTCTGAACCATTGTTTTCCAGCAGCAGTTCAAGCAGGCAAACACTGAATTGATGTAGATTTTCTGAGATTAATCAGCGGCGTATGGTCTGTTAAATGTGCTGCAGGGTTGCTTATCGTTGTCTTTTACCGATACTTCACTATGACGGCACAGAATAATTTTGTACATTCGTTGTGGAATAGTTGATTAGCAGAAGGCGAGGACGAGAGAATGGGGATGTGTGGTGACATCAGCAACTTCAACCGTGATGACCTCTTCACATATTTCTATTGTTTTGCCTTTGTCCAGATTTCCACAAGACGGCTCCGTATGTCATCACGGGGAGTGTGGACCAATCGGTCAAGGTGTGGGAGTGTCGCTGAGTCCTCAGCGACCCTCCTTGACCCCTCAAGGTCCCCGAAATCCCTGCCCCACTCCCACCCTTTCCCGCCGCTGCATTCGCTTCTACAGTCCCCTCGTACACATTTAATAAAGAGGAAAAAAAATTATGTTTTTACGTAAATTATTCAGTCGTAAGTTCAAGATAAAATAAAATAACAGTGAAAAATAAAGTATAAAAAATAATCCAAATTAAAAATGCGTTTCCCGGGAATACGTGCTGTGTATTTTCATTTCTCTTTTGTTTTATTTTTTTTGCATGGTAGCTTAACTTTTAGCAGACATGTATATCGATATGTACGTGTATATGACGTATATATATGACGCGGTTTGTCATTCTTGTGAATTCTGAAGCTAGCGCTTAGACGGAGGGGGGGGGGGGCGTCGGTCAGCTGTTTTGAGGTCCTTGCATTTACGCGTCGTCCCACCCTCCCGCCTGCACGGGAAGGTGTTTTGACGCCTGCAGATGGCGTGGCCTTTGTCTGCTGTCTGTCACCTCCGCTGTCCATCCAACTACCGTTGGGTGATAATTAAACTGAAGCTGCCATCGCTGTGTTGTGAATATGTAGTCAATATGCATCATCGTTATGTAGAGTGCATTATTATCCCCACTATTGCAAATAGTAACCAACCCTGGCCTATAACTAGACATTTTTATTTACATCAAGGAATTTTTGTTGTCATTTTTTTATGTACAGACATATTTTGTGCATGGCATAAATTGTAATTTGTTATTTATTTGTTTATTTCCATTTTGGTTCAATAATCCATTTGGTTTAAAGCAGTGAACAGCGCCGGGTGGAACACGGCCGGCTATGAGCGGCTTGTACATGGTTGACAGATTATCGCGGCTGCCACTTGCCTTGCATGGTGTTTTGAGAGATCTCCGTGGCACCGTGCCCCTATCGTTTGGACCCAACCCTGGACTCTTCACGCATGCGTTACGTAGTTGCCACCTGTCATACGGTCTGTCCGCAAGAGCTGACCGCAGCTTCCCAGCCTCCAGAGGGCCCCCCCCAGTCTGTTCACCCCTTTTTGGGAAATTATTCTATCATAACAGCGTGACATCTGTCACCTTTATGTAAAACGTATTTGACTGAGACAAATTATGGTGAAAGGTATATGTAATTTGCTTCATTGCAGGTCTTTTGAATGGTAGAAAGTGAGACTGTGTTTCTTGGCAGTGGTGTAAGAGTACAAACCAACACAATTCACCAGCTTTAGCGACACGCAGTACTGGATTGTTCGTACGGTGGTCACCGACAAAGATATGGTAAAGGCAAATGTTTTGGGAAGTGGCTGTGAATGAGGGGCTGTTTTCTGAAATGTGGGTTTGCCGCTTTTAGTCTGGTAAAGGTGGGAGCGTTATTTGGTTTGTACTTCTCAACAGCAAAACACACGCAAATTTTTAATAAAAGATGTTGGTTCTAATGATGAGCATAAGTTTCTTCCCAAGCGTGGTTGCCCGTTTGCGGCCCCAGCAATGCCCCTGCAGTGATTTTGAGATCCGCTCATGGGGCAATCACATGCCCGTGAGTGGAGAGCTAGGTTTTATGAAATCTCCTATGCCACATCTGGCTTGGTGTGGTTTTTTTGCCAAACTAGTGCCAAGCTGTGTGAAAATACCACAAAAATGTATGGCGCATATCCACCGGTCACTTTTTGGACATGCTATGTTTTTTGCCGGACCCATCTCTCCGTTAAACATAATAGGCTTTGTTTGGAATCATCTCACAACTAAAGCTATTGCCTACATCTCATTTGGGGCGAAATATGTAGCCTTGAAGTAGAGTCGAGTTTTATGATGTCTTCACGGACTTCCAACGGTAACAAACCAAAAAAAGCTCTGCAAATTGTGTGCGGTGTTTTCAAGGTCATGGCAAGTATGTGCAAAATAATCCCTTTGCCTTCAAGCACAGGGCTTGCACTGACCACCACGGACATTTCAGACTGGGGGATACAGCGGCAGGATGTGTGAAGCGGCTAGGCTTTGGGGCAGTTGTGCGCGCATATACGTGCATGAAGTGCACAGTTGCAGCTTTCGGAGCAGGGCTTGTGCGATCGTTAAATCCACGTGCTTTTTTGTGACTCGTTTAAGAGCCGTACAGGACAACATATACACTAGCATCCTTTGTGTCTGGATACTTGCAGAAAGGTGAAACCTGTGCATTTAACTTTGTTACTGTACATTTTTTTTCTCTCCAAACTATTTGAACGAACTTACGTGCGGTTTAATTTACAAGTTGTATAGTTCTGGATGTGGGGGGGGCGGGGAGGGGTCACGAAAAAAGTCACAGAAGATAGAAGTTTTACAAACGTTAAATTCCGGTGTAACATCAATTTGAACCTGGACTCAAAACAACTATAATTGGCTGCTAAACTTGAGTGTATATTTATATTAGAATCTAAAACACTTGGCCAGGTTTTTGCCTTGCGTTTAAATGATGTAACGTGACGTAGCGTAATGCGCGCGTGCTGTATTGTGAAGTTGCCTGGCCGAGCCGACTTCCCCGTTGGCGTGCGTGTCGCGGTACAGCGGCGGTGCGCTTCTTCGGCCCGCGGTTCGTGTGCGACATCCGCTTTGAACCGTTCCATCTGGGAAGCGGCGAAACATTGTTTTCTCACGCACGTCGCAGGCTTGTGTCGTCGACGGGCATTATGGGCTTTTGTGCATGGATACCAACGGCTCTGTGTAGGGGGGGGGGGTGTGGGGGGCAACTCACTGTCACCTGGAAAAACAAGTTGCTGCACGTGACGAGACATGTTCTCAGGTTTTCTCCCCCCTCCCTCCCATTTGCACGTACGTGTGGATAGCTCGCACCTTACCTCAGTGTGTAAGCTCGTTTTAAGTTTGCACTCTCGCCGTTCACACGTATTGCTGCATTGTGCGAGCATAGAAGCGTCTCGAGTGGTTTTTTTTTCTTTCTTCGGCAAATTATTCTCGGCCAGGTAAAGTTGAGCCACCTCCCAGGTGTGTTGTAACAAGGGGTCTACTGACCAAAGTTTGCATTTGATGCCTCTGATCCCATACGTTGCAGAAACATTTCCATTGCTTCCCCGGTTCAACGTTTTAACAATTAACGTGCATATTAGCCTTTTGAAAAGCCGTTACTTCTTGTGCAGGAGTTTTGGACGGTAGTACAAACCTCTAAGTGCAGCTTGCGGTTGTGTAACGATCAAGTGCTTAAAAGGGTTTGGTTAAAAATGACATTGCATGTTTAAAGATTAAAAAAAAAACCTTTAATAACTCTACGTGTAGAGGGTTTTGATGTTTCACCACAGGATAGCGAATATTAAACCATTGGCAAACGGTCCCTTCGCTGCAATTGGCGGCGCTGCTGAGGCATTGCACTATATCTTATGTTTGTTTCCCCCCCCCCTCCCGTTCGAATTTTCAAAAGGCTAATACGCGGCGCGTTGCTGGAAGCCGTGCCTGCCACTGGCTGGCCGCGGCGGGGTTTCACGAGAGAGCGCGACCGTGCGTTTTGATTGACTCGTGACGCACACCGGCCTGCCTGCGCTCGCGTCCTGCACGCAGGTGCCGCCACCACCACCCCAGTGTCAGTGTCGTTCGCGCGAGCGTGAGGTGCGCGCGCCGGGCCCCGGTGCGCGGTTAGTGGACGTGTGTTTGCGGGCACACGCACATGCGCACACGAGTCCGTATCGTCGTTCGCAGAGCAGTCCAATACAGTGCTTTGTATATACCCACACGCATTGAATTGTAAGCCTTTAAAGTTGTTGACACGTGTAAAAAAAAAAAGAATATTATGTACCTGTATGTGTTTTTGTCTTGCTTTTTAGGGCTTTACTGTAGGTGAATATAGGTGAGCTGGTATTAAAATGGCACATGAAACCTCCACGATAAGGGTAGCAAATGAAGTTTTTTTTTTCTCTCTCTCCGTTGTGTTTTCTTTGCGTCTGTACTACATCGAATTGCAAATTAAAAGCTACGGGGAAGTTTCAACTATTGTTGTGATTAATAACGTGAGCAAGCTTCTGCTCTGCTGTGCACAACGGTCCGAGTGAGTCTCGATAAATCCAACTTGATAACTTTGGTTATAATTTATTGGCCTGGTTTTGTCAAAGTCGGCCATGTGCGCACGTTATTAATGTTATCGTGCAGTGCATTAACGAAGGAGGGGGAGGGAAGGTGTGCGGGGGGGGGGGGGAGGTTAATATGCCTTACATTGTTTTTTCGTGTGTACAAATTTAACAAAAATTAATGTGCGTTGTAAAGTAAAAAAATCTGATGCGCTAATGAGAACCGAAATGCATCCCTGGTTCAAGACGACCCGTGTTGGAAAGCGAGGGATGCTGTTTAATCGTACGCCAATTCCCATCTTTCTCAAAACCAATGTATCGTTAAATAATAAAGGACTCCAGAATTCCCCTACGCCGATGCTTTTACTCGCTTTTGCAGCGCTGTTGCTGCTCCCCCCCCCGCTCCCCTTTGGCCGGTGTACCGCGTAAAGTGTTGCCCATGCGGGCATAGCTGGCAGTGGCCTTGAGGTGTTGGAAAGGTTAGTGCTCGTGAGTAAAAGTCGTGTCTGTGGCTACGAGGAAACTGGCGCGTGGTGCTGTCTTTGGTAGGCCCTTCTGCTTGGTGATGCCTACGGGTTGCTAAAACATTTTCTGTGTTTCTTCACATTGTAACAATTTGGGAGACTGAAACTGGGGCTGTGAGTCAAGCACTGGCTTACTTTTTTGGGGGGGGGGGGGGGGGGCTGTGGCCTGGGGGAGTGGAAACAAGTCCAATATCGCTTCTCGTGTACCCATAGTGCACCTGCAACATTATTATATGACAGTGTGGCATCTAATGTCCATCATGGCTTATTCCTCAAGGTAGAGAAGTGAAAAGAATATTCTACATTAAAAAAGAATCGAATTACTGTGGTGGTGTATGCTGAACCGCTGTTGTACATTACTTTCACAGTTTTGTCACAATTTATATTCCATAACTTTATTTGCCAGCTGAAGTCGGCCCAACTAACTTACCTTGGTATATGGTTTAGTGTAGAAGTGTTTTAAAACATTTAGCTTGTTTATCGGTCACAGTTGCTCGCTGGCTCATTGTCAATTCCAAACCATTTTATGCACTGGTTGGCTTTCTAACTATAGGTGGCTGCATGCTTAAAAAAATCTGCAACGGCGAATATGCTTACCCTTGCCAACTCCTAAATTAACATTTTGCTCTAGGTTTGAAATATTTGAATGTTTAAAACTAAATGTAACAAACCAAAATTTATACAAGTCAAGTTGCCTCCATATATATGCTTTTGTGTGTACATGAAAAAAAAGGGGTGACTCAAATAATTCTTCCCATTTCAAAAATTTCAGCGTCCTAAATGTAATGTAGGCAACCCAGAAATAAATACCCAGGTGGCTTAAACTGCAGTGTGAATATCCTCATCGACCTGTGAACATTACTCGAGGTACCTCAATGCTAATGCACACACTGTCCTCGGTCGAGTCATTTCAGAGCCGCAGCCGAGGCTGCATCACCTGACGTATGATGAGCTATATAGATAGCATGGAGGAAATGGTCTGGTTTGGTTCGTAATTTAATACATTCTTGCACATGGAGAGGTCAACAGTTACAATGGGTCAGTCGTGTCTATGCCTCAGTGTGATTTACATAGAACATGCCGATCTGGTAAATCGTGAGATAGGCACGGGAGATTTACCCTAGTTCTTGAACGGTTCAAGTTTAACATCATCTGACATCCTTCCGTGGCCACTAACAGTCCGCCCGAGACGTTATCGTGATCGCCATTTCCCCTGTCGGACATTGGTGCAGTTTCGAGCCAATTTGGTTGCCGTCAATACATTTGGCAACGTCCTGTGGTTCTGGCCGACATTGATGATGTGGAACACTGGACCCAATGTGTGATTCTGAAGTTGTAATGGTTAGCATTGTCGTGTCACGATCTTCAGAGATGTTTGTGCGATACATTTCTCTCTCTTTACGATCGTTATCCATTATCGCGGGGACGTGAAACCGACTGGCGGCCAAGATGCAGGTTGCTCAACTGAGCAACGCTGGCTCTCAACTGAGCAACCATGCCTCCTTAACTCGCTCAAAGCGGGAAACCAAGTGCCCTGTTGTACATGCAACGTGGAGACAGATGGGGGAAGAGGATGGAGATCACAAAGGGTTTGGCATGATGAGAACAATTAAATTTTGATTTAAAGCTTTCGTGACTGCAGTGATTCATATTCTTGGTTCTTTCGGTAAAGTCACGTTGAAGGGAAACAATAAAAAGTCACGTTGAAGGGAAACAATAAAATATATATTTTGTTTCCCTTCAACGTGACTTTACCGAAAGAACCAAGAATATGATGAGAACATTTATATTCGATACACATCTGATCACAACCCAGCAATTCATCTCCAGTAGTACTGATGTGATGTGTACATTTTTTGAGTGTACCGTCTTAAACATCCTTTTATGTTATTGGTAGGTGACTTTATTTTCTGATTGCCTACGTGTGATGTACTGCTTGGGAGGAAGGTGGTATTTGAAATGCTCCATATCCTAATCTAACCTTTGTCAAGCCACCTCATTTGTAGCACAAAAGCTGTCACTTCCAAATCTGGCCTGTTATACGTTTTACTCGAGCAGCTGGCTCTGTTGGTACAAATGCAACGTGTTTGCCAATTGAGCACATGTATTTGAAAAGTACTTTAATACAAACATTGATAGCTGTTATTTATCTTTATTACAGCACATGTTATGATTTTGATTTAAAAATCAGAATTGAATTAGGAATGACATGACAAATAAAAATTCAGTCCAAGGTTTAAATACGAAATTATGAAAAAAAAACCTATCTCACAGGTGTCAGTGGTTCCCAAGCCGTCTAGGCCTGTGGACCCACTGTCAATGCTCCACTTTTTGTTTGTGGACCATTGGAATAAAAAAAAACACAACGTGGCTTCTTTTCCCGTGGACTGCTTCGCTCGGTATCACAGCACCAGCGGTCCATCGTGGCCGACACGTTAGGAACAACTGCGCCAAGTCAAATTATTCTATTGGTCGTCGTGTTCTGCCTTTGCATAGTTAGGGCTATTTCAGTACCCCAAATTGGTCCAGAAAAAGTACACATTTGCTCGGTACGCTGCAACACGGTGCGGGTTTGTTGAGTGCAACGGCCTCGAGGCAGGGTTGCTTTCTAGCCCTGAAAGTGCCTGGTAGGGCCTGTACGTAGTTGCGTTGTAAACCATTCACAAGTTGTACACTAGCGTGCCATCACCCATGCCTCCACAGGGTCGCGCTAGCACATGCGCCACAGCCACATTTATTTTTTTTACCTTTATAGCGGGACCCACTGTAGTACTTTGCTGTTAAAATGTTAAGCTGCTGAAAAACCCTCAACCAAATTTGTAGCGTCTTAAGTTTTGGGTACAAAAAAATAATCACAGGTTCGTCTCCCCCACCTGTACCAGGATTTCAAATACTTTTTAAAGATTAACCCTTAAGTTGAGTTTGTAGAACTTTAACTAAACCCAAACTTGTTTTTTTTACACTTCTACTTTGTGTACCACTCGGCAGATGTATTTAATGACAGATCTTGCATATGAATGACGGTGAGTGGCTACTGTGAGAAGGTGAAGTCACAGCAGGAATCATAAGGCCTGGGTGGAGCACAGATGAAGCCATCTGTCAACTTGTGCATCTGGACAAAGAAAAGTGCACTTGTTACTTTTTCCCAGCCACATCTTTAATTGTAGCAGCTGATCATTAAATCTCCATGCATGCTATCATTTGATATAGCATTGGCTCCCACTAATTGTGGCCTAAATGTGTGTCCGCCACAACTAAGTATTCTCTGGGAGTACCACTTAATTAGTTCGAAAGTGAGCCACCATAAGAGGCGAGTACCACTTTGTGTGAAATCGACATTCCTATGGAGAGACTATGCCATAGGAATGTGGAATTCAACGACTGGTTCAGATCTGCTGTTAGGATTAGTTTTGCTGCATTGCTACTATGAGCAGAGAGATTGATCTGTTGTGGATAGCTCTGTAAGCCACTGCCGCCACAGCTATCATTTTAACTTGTACGTGGATTCCTGCACTTAAGGATAATTCATTGTCACCGGCACCTATTTGACTTTGTGCTTCGGGAATGGTGACGTGTATGGTTAGAACTGCCCAACACACGAGAACATCTTGTTCACATACGTTCTCCCCTTTTTTCTGGTAACAAAACAGGTGTTAAGATGTTAAAACACCAAACTGAAACCTTTTACAAGGAATCATGTCTGCATTAACCACAATACTTGTGGTCAGAATGCAAACAAAAAAAACACTGATAGTATATGCATTGTCTTTGAAACTGATTGGTCCACACCAGAGACAGCTTTCTTTTGAGCCTCGTCTCAAAACGGTGTTAGACCAGAGGACGCCTTTGGCGTCAATGTCCATGCATATATTATCAGTGTTTTTTTTGTTTGCATTCTGACCACAAGTATTGTGGTTAATGCAGACATGATTCCTTGTAAGAGTTTTCAGTTTGGTGTTTTAACATTTTAACACCTCACCTGTTTTGTTGCCAGAAAAAAATGGGAAAACCTATTCTCATTTTGGTACTGGCAAAGGAGGTCCCATGATCTTGTTCACACTTTGCCTTCAACTTATTCAAAAGTTAGAGACTAGTTCATGAAAATGGCTATTGTGGACAGCTTTTGGTGGGGGTAACATCTATGTAGCCAATCAAAACATGGCATAGTGTGGTTGGTGTATTGTTCTATATATAACCAGAAAGAATGAGAAGCGAACATTGTTTTGTATAATATGTAGGCATTTGCAACCAATATGATTCAGAATTAGTTTATTTTGGGATAGATTGTGTTAGTATGATGTCATTATACGTACAACACCTGTATGGGCCAGTTTTCAATTAACTAAAGTACATTTAATGCGCTTGCCTCTGGGATATCCGTCTTATCTGGACAGGAATGTTTTGAAGGCGACTTGAAACGTCTCAACACGACTGATAGTAACGCTAAATTATTTACTCCAATCCAACACGCGGATATCTAACGACAAAGCATTTAGACTCACAAATGCATCGGCATTTCGCGAGTACCGTCACTGGGTCTTTCTTGGTTAAAATTACTTGAAATGACTCAGCTGGGAAACTTAAATGAAACGTTCATCATTGCTCATGTTTTTTTTAATTCTCATCTCGGTTATTCCCTCCATCTTAAAATTTGTTTAACCTCATGCCACCCTGTGGAGGCATAACAAGCCTTTAGTACTTCTTAAAAGAAACAATTACACTACACAATAGACAGTTTTGTGTGTTTTTATTGGGTCCCTTGTACAGGTTTTGCATCCTTGCAGTAAAGAGCATTCTATGAAGTTTTCAGTAACTGATTAATGATGGGAGCTGAGGTTGCTTGGTTGATGTGCATGTGCGGTAAATTTGGTAGCTGCATTTTCACACCTTTTTAACTAAAACAAATTCCATTTGAAAACGTGACAATTTGTCATCTGTATCGCTGTCCCATACCATGCAGTTATAATCTGTAAGCCCCAGCTGTCAAAACGGTATAAAGGCAGCGAGTGGTTCTCCACCTGGGGTGCACGCAACCCATGGCGGGGTGCGAGATGCCCTTTCTGTGCGTGCGAGACGCGGCCAGATTTTTGTTAAAGGCAAATCATCGAAAACACATTAAGCACGGGCACATACGTTACTACTTTGTTTCGTCAAACTCTATATTAACATTACTGTATACATTTGTTTACGTTTGAGAACCAAAGGGGTGCAAGGCTACAGTAAAGGGTAGGCTAGGCACTGGTATAAAGTAAACAAATTGACCACCCCAACGTTGTGTGGGTGGGTGGGTTTCAAGCAAGTACGTACAGTGAGGGAAAAAAGTATTTGATCCCCTGCTGATTTTGTACGTTTGCCCACTGACAAAGAAATGATCAGTCTATAATTTTAATGGTAGGTTTATTTGAACAGTGAGAGACAGAATAACAACAAAATCCAGAAAAAACGCATGTCAAAAATGTTATGAATTAATTTGCATTTTAACGAGGGAAATGAGTATTTGACCCCTCTGCAAAACATGACTTAGTACTTGGTGGCAAAACCCTTGTTGACAATTACAGAGGTCAGACGTTTCTTGTAGTTGGCCACCAGGTTTGCACACATCGCAGGAGGGATTTTGTCCCACTCCTCTTTGCAGATCTCCTCCAAGTCATTAAGGTTTCGAGGCTGACGTTTGGCAACTCGAACCTTCAGCTCCCTCCACAGATTTTCTATGGGATTAAGGTCTGGAGACTGGCTAGGCCACTCCAGGACCTTAATGTGCTTCTTCTTGAGCCACTCCTTTGTTGCCTTGGCCGTGTGTTTTGGGTCATTGTCATGCTGGAATACCCATCCACGACCCATTTTCAATGCCCTGGCTGAGGGAAGGAGATTCTCACTCAAGATTTGACAGTACATGGCCTCGTCCATCGTCCCTTTGATGTGGTGAAGTTGTCCTGTCCTCTTAGCAGAAAAACACCCCAAAAGCATAATGTTTCCACCTCCATGTTTGACGGTGGGGATGGTGTTCTTGGGGTCATAGGCAGCATTCCTCCTCCAAACACGTTGAGTTGATGCCAAAGAGCTCCATTTTGATCTCATCTGACCACAACACTTTCACCCAGTTGTCCTCTGAATCATTCAGATGTTAATTGGCAAACTTCAGACGGGCATGTATATGTGCTTTCTTGAGCAGGGGGACCTTGCGGGCGCTGCAGGATTTCAGTTCACGGTGTAGTGTGTTACCAATTGTTTTCTTGGTGACTATGGTCCCAGCTGCCTTGAGATCATTGACAAGATCCTCCCGTGTAGTTCTGGGCTGATTCCTCACCGTTCTCATGATCATTGCAACTCCACGAGGTGAGATCTTGCATGGAGCCCCAGGCCGAGGGAGATTGACAGTTCTTTTTATGTTTCTTCCATTTGCGAATAATCGCACCAACTGTTGTCACCTTCTCACCAAGCTGCTTGGCAATGGTCTTGTAGCCCATTCCAGCCTTGTGTAGGTCTACAATCTTGACCCTGACATCCTTGGAGAGCTCTTTGGTCTTGGCCATGGTGGAGTTTGGAATTTGATTGATTGCTTGTGTGGACAGGTGTCTTTTCTACAGGTAACAAGCTGAGATTAGGAGCACTCCCTTTAAGAGTGTGCTCCTAATCTCAGCTGAGCCAGAAATCTTTCTGATTGAGGTCAAATACTTATTTCCCTCATTAAAATGCAAATCAATTTATAACATTTTTGACATGCGTTCTGCTGGATTTTCTTGTTGTTATTCTGTCTCTCACTGTTCAAATAAACCTACCATTAAAATTATAGACTGATAATTTATTTGTCAGTGGGCAAACGTACAAAATCAGCAGGGGATCAAATACTTTTTTCCCTCACTGTAGGTCACCCTGTCACCGTTGGGTCTCCCCTCTGCCCTCTCGAGGTTCCGCTAATGCTCATGCAATCCCTCGTTGCTTTTGAATATCCTGAGGTTCGACATTGCTTTCCGTTGCAGATCATCCCTTGTATCGAAATTAAATGGCCACGCAGGCAGTCGCATAGCGGTATTGTAACAGGTTGATATCGTCGTCTTCGTAACACCCACTATTCATGCTGCAACTCTTTAGCATTCAGGACCGTTTAAACAAAGCATTTAATAGTGGCTGTCTGTGATTGGCTGCAAATGCCTTACATAAAATGCTTGGATTTACCCCCCCCCCCCCCCAGTGAATAAAATGTAAACTTTAAATAAGTACATTTAAAACAATGCAACGGTATAGTCATCGAGTAGTAAAAACGTTTTGACGTCAAAAGTTTGCTCTTTACTGTTGTCTGCAGTACAGCTTGACATGCTGTGTGCGTCCTGTATTGGGCCTGTGGCGTTTGAGAAGAGGAATGCCTCCCGAGGCAGAGATTGAAATCATCAAAGCGGGGCTGCACGCGACTCTTGAGCGAGTAGGGTTGGGCCACAGTGTATGCAGGACGCTTAACAAGGTTGAATCAAATGTTTTGTTCCTTATCTGTGACTGTATAAATTTTAATTTTTAAAATAAAAATGTCTTTAAACCCATACATTGTTCTTCCTAGTTGCATTTTTTAAGTTTTTTTTGTTGCAGTGCATTCGTCGATGGTTGAAATGTTGATTGGCTGCAGTGCTAAATAACTATACAGCCCGATGTAAAAATGCTCACAAATGTATTGGGGCAATTTCAAATCCTGGTCAGGTCGTGACTTATCTTTTCATTGGGCCGAGTTCAATATAATCAACACTTAAGGTGGTCGAAGCCAGGAAGAGGAACGATGCCGTTGCCACTGTCAAGCGCAAGGTCCACAGTGTTTTAGAAATACCGACGAAATCGTGTTTCATATCCCGCGGCTGTGCCAGATATTACATTGCACTGTACCTGGTCTAGTTCCGTGACGGAAAGGGTACGTCCGCGGAGATCTGATCGTAGCTTGCTCTTGGTGGCATTATCATCTCCATTTATCGTGAGCATGCCGTTTTGCCTCGCTTCTTCATTGGGGCCTTTTTGGCTTACACGTAGCAAGTGAGTTTAACACGTGACAGGCTTTCGCGACAAATATTCATAATAGTTTTTTTTGGGTTAGATCGCGTGAGTATAAATGTGTCGTAACCCTCCACCACCCGACACAGCCAATTAGTAAGGGATTTGTCACGTAAACAAAACGCCAATTAGTTACTAATTCACTATTCTGGCAAATCGCCCGAAGATGCTGGATGTAATTACCAGCGAAACATCACGATACTCAAATTGTAAATGTTGATTTACGCTCCAACACACCGGTGGGCTGAAGTAGTCACTAATTGGCACGTTTTGTGTACGTGACAAACCTTACTAATTGGCAGTGGCGGGTTAACGAAGCATTTTTAATAGTTACGCGATCTAATCCCCCCCAACCCCCCAAAAAACACATTGATGATGAATCCCCGTGGGTGACGAGGCACCACAATCCGACTCGCGAGAAGGCAGCACAGAAAAATGTGGACAGCTCCTGTTCCAGTCTTTTATGGGATCGTGTTTCCCCTTCGCACGCGTGGGGTTTCTCTGGATGCTCAGGTTTCCTTCCACATGTAAGCACTCATCGATTGGCTGTCAAGACCTTAATATATCGCAGATCGCAGAGCTTGGGCAATTGTTGGCACTGGCTAACCGCGTGGCTGCTTCCCTGCTTGTCTTAGGTTAATTGGACCCGGAGGCGTTCCGTCTACGAGCGAGCGAATATTGTGGGCATTACAAGTTGAAATTATTACTATTATTTGGTTACAGCCACTGGGGATTGGACCATGTAAACTCTTTTTTAAAACATCTAAAACACACACTTTTCAAATAATTGGAGGGGTGGGAGGAAAAAAATGCATATTATCTATGTTGACAACATGCACAACACGTACCGCAGTCCGGACATCAGACCATAACACACCGTGCGTCCCATCACGATCGCGGCAGTGTTTATTTCACAAACTGCTGTGTACAATCGTAAGTGTTGCATGTTACACGGCTCCTCCCAGCGCTTCCCACCGAGCGACCACCTTGACAAGATTTACACTTCCACAACAACAAACAAAAAAGAAACTCCCATCCCGAAAAAACCTCCCCATACCGTCACGGATATTTTGGTCATTCTCCAAAAAAAGCACTCGCGAGATTCATCCGTTTGGAGGCGCGACCGAGTAGACTCGTGTGGAACGATGGGGAGACGTGCAAAGGATCGGAGTTTTTTTTATTTTTACGAGCCCCACTCCCCGTTTTCTTCCCTCGGGAGGTGGCCAATTTTCGTCCATTGATGTCAGCAACTACCTCCGTAACGTTCTCCCTGGCAGATCGCAAACAACAACAAACCCCCAGGGCTCCACGGTGTCCTCACAGTCGCACCCCGACCCACCCTCCCCGCCCCTTCCCCCTCTCAGCTGGATACAGGCGGTTCAAGGGCCTCTGCTGCATCCGCCCCAATATTAACATTTAAAACGAACAAAAACTCCAGACAGTTTCTCGGGTATGTTAACATTCAACATCGACATTATACGAATCGAGTTTACAATGGCAAGAGAGCTCTACAAAGCAGCATCATGCAACCGGCCCTGGCCAGCGGCCAGATGATTGGGGGGGCTCAATGCCAAATGAATATTTGCCGAGCACTGCGAGCTGCGAGCCTTCGTTTTGCTCGTTCCATATCTCCCGGGTCATGGTTGTTTAATGACCAACATTCTCATGCCTCCCGGCTTGACGACATTACCCAGCAGCCTTTAGGCGTGGCGAAGCAAAATCCGGCGATGGCCGAGCCATGCGAGACACCAAAACTGTAGCCCCAACATAAAGATGCCCCCCGTATTTTCGCCTGCAGCAGACTGTTGGGGCAAGTGCTGTTTGCGAGCAGCTATGAAGGCCGGCACGGCACACGAGGGGCGACCGCCTTTGTCTCCCCCAGTGGGCGACATTTCCACACCCCGCGCCGGGTACTCATTTGAGGCCGAGTCGACCTAGGGGAGGCCCATGATCGGTTCGGATAATCGCGCCACCTCGTGGTGGCCGTGAGCGGGATTCGAACTCGGGTCGCCGGGTTCAGTAGCGCAGCGCGCTCACCACGAGAACCACCGCTGCCCAGCCTCGGCGTGGTGAAGCCAAGGCCGGCGATGGTTGACCCATGCTATAGACAACCAAAAACCGAGGCTAACACACACGTCGTCGCGCTGTGTAATTGTTTTTAAACGTCATTTACAATGTATTGCCACACACATTGTTTATCAGAAGACACGTGGCCATGCCACTTTGTGTAACCCATTCCTTGACTTGACGTACAATTGGATAGACGCCCGCTAAAGTGGCGTTCTTCCAGATTTGGCCAAATCTACCAGCCGCGGCGAGGAGATTGGGGATTGTGACCGCGCCGGATTAATGTCTTAATGTCAGATTGAATTCACGTCATGCACTATGAAGCAGGGGGTGGGGGGGGGTTAAACACCCTCCCCCGCCCGCACCACACACACGATTTCCTTCACTACGTGGGTTCTGCTAAGTCGGATGTAAAGTTTCAGAACATTTCTTTAGCTGTGGTTTTTTTTTGGTTAAGCATTTTTTTTAACATTTATTTTCGATTTAATAAGCCTACTTTTTTGTAATCTGTACAGAGGTTGCTCCCTCCCCCACCCCACTGGCGTACATACACCGAGTAGACGTCCTTGAGAAATCCACAAGATCGACTCCTTCATTGGGCCGCGGGTGCTGGCACGCAAAGCGACTCGACTCGGAGGGGGGGGGGAGATCGAACCGCGGGTCGACAACACGCGGACTTGACAAAGTCGCAAAAGTTCACCCCCCCCAACCACCCCCCCTCAGCCCCCCCCAACCACCCCCCCACCCCCATCCTCATTCGCAAGGACAACGCGATTAGGCAGCAACTCATTCTGGCAGCGGGGTTTTCTTTGCGCACGCGCGCGCACAATTTATTGTCGACACGGGGCATTCCGTCCTCGTGTTTGGTCAACACTGCGGCGCCTCATGCGGGGGGGGAGGGGGGGGGCTTGCTCAGCTCCCCAATTTAGATCCGGGTTGCAAGCCGCCGACGCGTCGCGAGCGCGCGCGCACGCACGCACGCGCCTGATGATTGGTAAACGCGAACCGCTTGCGCGCACGTGGGAGCGAGGACTGACCGACGTTTGAGAGCGCAGCCCAGAACGCAGACGAGAGTAGAGCCACTACCAATGTGCGGTGGCGCTCGGAAGCTTTGCATTTCATCACGTTCGAACGCCTTAAAAAAGATGAAGATGATGACGAAGAGACGGCTTGTGGGGATAGGATGCCTGGAGGTCGACACAGCTCATGGGGGGAGGGGGGGGCCTCTGCAGTCCCAAGTGAGTAGCCCCAGCTGGGATTATCTCATGGTAGGATGATGATGATGGCGATTTCCACCGATCGTATTTTCTCCTAAAGGAGCCAAAGTGAAGGAAATGAATCCACTAGGCTTTGCTCGAGTATAGGGTCCAAGTTCACGAAAGTACAGTCCGCCACCACGGGTCACCTTTCGCTATGGTCACAATTCTCCTCTGCGCTCAAACTACAAAATAGTTAACAATGCAGTCAGAACGTGCAGCGAGCGCCGATTCAAACCAAGGGCTCCCTCCCTCTCTAAGACATGCCGGGGAGTGGGGACGCGTTTGGACAATCATCAGGAGGCGTGCAGGCGTGTAAATGGCAACTTGTGATTGAGAAAGATGGAAACAACCACAATGCAGGAGAGGCGTAACGTGGTTGGGGTTGCGAGGACCGACTTCAGCGTGGCAAAACGTGGTGTCGGTGCAGCTTCAGGGCTCAATGAGAACCACTCTGTGGAGAGTCGAACGCGAGTTGTCCTTGGTGTCAAGGCTGACCACACCCCACCCGCCGATCCCGGCATGGGAACATGGAATTCACACCACCACGACGAGCGCACATCCCATTGCTCGTCCAAGCAGATTCTCGTTGGGATTTCTTCGGAGGATACCAGCGCTCACTGTTTGAATATTATGGGGAAGCACGACCAGAAACACCTCTAATACGCATTCGCTGTTTGGTGCCACTGCGGTCATAATGGAGCGCTCATAGGGCCTCGTGGTCGTGGACACGCATGCCGTTCGTTTATTGAAGGGACAAACACGACCAATAAATGCTTACTTAGCGCCTCCCTGTGGGCGATAGGGTTTCAAATCCACGTGGGGCAGACCGCATGGCCCCAGCATCAGATGAGACATCGGGAAAATAAAAAGACATTTACAAAACAAACAAAAAAAATCACACGCAAAAACATCAGTCACACTATTTTTTCAAACTCCTCTGGGCGTGATAATGAAGAGGGGTGGGGTAGTCAAGCCGCACAATTATTTAGTTTTTTTTGTTGCGTACACAACCTGCAAGTATCATGGGACCTTTTTTTGCCAGTATCAAAGTAAGAAAAAAATTATAAGTTTTACCCTTTCTGGCAATAAAACAGGTGTCAAGATGTTCAAACAGCACAAATAAACCAAGTCTGCATCCACCACACGCACATGCAAACAAACATTGCTCTGATAATCTTCGCAGTCTGTGAAACCGATTGGCATACAGAGACAGCAAAGAGCCTTATTTGTGGCCTAGTGTCTCAAATACCAGCGTCGGACCAGAGAACGCCAAAAGGCGAACAGTACAAGGACAATGCACCCATCAGAGAGCATTTACAGCTTTGCGGGAGTGAGCAGCTTGCGTCGCAGCAGCTGCAAGTGTTCCCCGACGCGACACGAGAAACCTACGATGCCACAGTCACCTCCCAGCCCCACCACGCCCCCGGTTCCCCTTGGGGATGTGGTTCAACCGCTTCCAATGCTGCTCCAGGGCCTCACACCGCTTTGCCGTTAAGACCCCAATTCCACGCACAAAAAATACACCACCACCACCACCAAAACCTCATCTCATTGCAAAATCAGAAAAAAAATGCTCACGTTTCTTTGCTTTTAAGCTATGAGAGACGTGCACAACCCCGCGTCTCTCTCTCTCTCTCCCTCTACCAAGCCCGTCGAACGCACACAAAGGTGTCCCTCGCCACAGTCGAAATTAAAGTCTCCCCTCCCCTCCCCTCTTCCCGTATGGGTAGAAAAGTTTCTCTATTGGCTGCAGCAGTGACGACAAACTGGTGCTCTCAATTAGCCGTGTCGAGCAGAACCCACCCTGTGTGTGGACATGTTCACTGGAAGGGGGGACCCCCCCCCCTCCCCGTGATCGACCTCCGCACCGCCACCCACGCCCCGTTCCGATTCCTTGCGCCGCTTCGCCAACATTATACCCAAATATCAGCCCCCTTAAAAAAACAAAAATATTCACCCAATTTTTCGCACGGTGGAGGGAAAAAAAGCAACACCCCATTACATCAGTAGCCACAGCCAACACCCACAAACCATCAGCCCCATAAACACAGACGCGATAACATTCAGGTGTCTGAAGAAATAAGCCCGATAACCCGTTACCAAGTGTGCCCTCGTTCAAAACTAGCCCTCGAGGTTCCGGCGTGCTGCACGTGCACACCGTGGGCACGTTTACGCGTGCAGATGTGCAAGTGTGCAAGTCGAAGTGCCAGGAAGCCAACGAACAGTTTTGTGAACGTCGGCAGAGACTTGAGGGGGGGGGGGGAGAAAGAGAGACCCTGAACAAAATACGTGGACAGACATTTGCGAAATCGCGTCGCATCGCAGCGTTGACACCGCACCGAAGATTATAGACGTGGGGATATATATAACACGTGGCCTCACCGCTGGCCGTACCGGGGAGGGCCTGGTGGCCAAATCCCACATTGGAAGCGAACTGGGGGGAGAAGGGAGGACGAAATATCAGCAACAGCAGCCGCCCCAAGCAGCCTGGGGGGACGTGGAGGCCGAGGCGAGCCGAACTCGCGAGTGTGAACGGAACCAGCGCTGTCGCTCACCAGGCGTGTGGCATGTTCTGTTTTCGTTCGACCTCGTTCAACGTGGCACCCCCCCCCGCCCCGCCTCGTTCACATGTATTCTTCAACGGTGATTTTTGGCCCGTGGTCCACTCAGCCGACGCACACATTCCCCACGGACCATCCCAGCCCCCGGACCCCCCCACCCAACCATCACCCCTGGTGACAATGCTAGTAATACAAAAGCGATTTATATTACCGGAACAAAAAGAAACCAAAGCTATAGCGGTTTTTTTTTTGGGGTGGCCATTTATATCTTAGGGTTAGGGTAGTTCAAAAGCAGGGTAAGTTTATCCCAAGTTCCATTTTTTTCATTAAGTAAAATATTAACGTCCAAAATAAAAATAAAAGGTAATGAACTCCGTCATTATTGACCGGCTCGAGCTGCGCCTTGCATCACAGCCAACGCGGACCCACCTGGAGGGCCCACCTGGAGGGCCCACCTGGAGGGCCCACCTGGAGGGCCCACCTGGAGGGCCCACCTGGAGGGCCCACCTGGAGGGCCCACCTGGAGGGCCCACCTGACCACCGGGAGGGCCCACCTGGAGGGCCCACCTGGAGGACCCACCTGGAGGGCCCACCTGGAGGGCCCACCTGGAGGGCCCACCTGGAGGGCCCACCTGGAGGGCCCACCTGGAGGGCCCACCTGGAGGGCCCACCTGGAGGGCCCACCTGGAGGGCCCACCTGGAGGGCCCACCTGGAGGGCCCACCTGGAGGGCCCACCTGGAGGGCCCACCTGGAGGACCCACCTGGAGGACCCACCTGGAGGGCCCACCTGGAGGGCCCACCTGGAGGGCCCACCTGGAGGGCCCACCTGGAGGGCCCACCTGGAGGGCCCACCTGGAGGGCCCACCTGGAGGGCCCACCTGGAGGACCCACCTGGAGGACCCACCTGGAGGGCACCCTGCTGGTGGGGGTGACCACCACTTTGAAAACCACTGGTCAAAAAGCTCACGATTCACGCGCCGAATCGTGGGCGTGCGAAAGAGAGCAAATGCTCCGATTTAAGGATGACGTAAAAAAACGATACGCTGTGACGCTTGCAGTTGTGCTCGCGCGACGATGAGCACTGTAAAGATGAAACAATTTGCAAACTCATCAGTAAAAATAAAACAGGACAAAAAATACATAACCGATTGTGAAACGGCAGCTTGGGCATTTGATCGTGAAAACTCGTACAAATTTCCGGGGGGGGGGGGGGGGGAAGAGGCGGTGGGAGATATTACTGCTCTTGTAGCCATCGTGGCGATCGTTAGGGGTTGGGGGGCAAAATAGGGGCATCCCCCCCCTATTATGTACACGTGCATTTCAAACTGGCAACGTGAATGCAGGCAAATGGGACCTCATGCTAAGCGGCGTCTGCCACCTTCGCGGTGAAGCCAAGCCCAAGCAGAGTACGCGTGTAGCCGTGACCCACACCACTTTATTCATTATTAGCACGGGCTCAGCCACACCACGTGAGACAGAACATTACACACCTGGGCGGGGGGGGGGGTTAGTGGCCAGCCCACAACTTGACACGCACGGACGGATAACCCCCACCCCCCGCTCCACACACCTCCGCTGTACCCAACGGCTCCTCGCGACACTCGCCGCACTCCACAAGGCCTGCTGGGCTTCCTCATAACGCAACACTCTTTCCGGAGATGTCAATTGTGATGCGCCGGCACTCTGGAGGCACCCCCCCCCCCCCCCGAGATTCAGGTGCTCCTGAACTTTCCTTTATAAATAAGATTTCTTTTTTAGACCCAGGAAACAAATGTGACCCATGGGGCCCATCTGTTTTTGACTTGTACTTGCCTGTGAACAGGAGAATGACTTTGCGTGTGCAATGTACATACACAGCAGGATTATACGAATGGTAACTTGTGCGCGGGTCTGATTATCAGTACACAAACGGAAAAGGTGATCACTGGTGGGTGTGGAGAAAGTATCATTTGGAAGTCAACGGATTTGGGTAATCGTTTGCGGGTGTATAACCCCTTAACGAGTTGGGCAATTTTACGGCAAAAGGTGTCCACGTTCAACCGCTTGCCTTCATCCTCAAGGTCGCACGCGCGCCCCTCGACCCCGAAGCGAATTACGTTCGAGTACATTTCTTGAACGCGTGCAGTTCAGGCGGGCGGGGAAGACCCATTTACACGTACGTACGGCCGTTGTGTTTGGAAACTTTTTTACGCGTCACATCGAGCTCAAGGGGTCACACGTTCCACCATGCTCCACGCAGGGAGCACAACAGCAGTCGCGCACCACCACCACCCCCCCCCCCCCCATCATTTGAGCACTTGGAGGCATCCGCGGCAGCGGTGACAGAACTAACGCTTCAGCAATCACGTACTTGGGGAGACGGCATCTAAACCGAACTGTGCTCGATTGTTGACATCAGTATTCACGCGACGCTTAATTCTTGGTATCGTTTCATATTTGCAAATGGTGATTTGATCTGTATCAAAAAATACAATGTTTTGACTTCAACATTTTAAATCGCAAACATCCACCCCGAAACGTTCGACTCTGCGCGATGTAAGTGATGTAACGACAACTCTTCGATTTTTTTTACTCTTGATACGGTCCTTGCGTGTTGCCGTAAATTCAATTGTATATACCCAATGGGCTCAACAGTTGATTTTAACATTATTATATCAGTTTTTAAATTCTACTTGCGATTAAGCTTTTTTTTTTTCCAAGTAAGCAAGCAAGCATCCGGACTTTAAGTCCGTTAGCGAAGACCGGAATTTTTCAAGCAACGACGACACATATAAAGAGCCCACACCACTCACAGAAGCCTGCAATTCAGTTCAAATGTTTAACCACTGCCTAGCAGCTGATACATTGAAAACTAATTTCTTTAGAACTGCTCTGGGTTTAGTTTGTTGTCCATCCACCGGACCTCCGATTAGCACGGTTGGCCATGTGCGGTGCAAAAGAAGTTCAACATACATACATACATAAAGGTATGTTAATTAAAGCCATTAAGGTTTTTAAATTCGCTCCAGCACATACAAAAGTATAAGGATTCCATCACCAAGTAATTATTCGTAGCAATTAGCAACATCGGCAAGATATGACAGCGGGTTTTTGTTGCTGCTTAATCTTTTAAATTAAAGGCTTTTTTTTCTTTCATATAACACGATCGTTATCATTTCATTGTATTTAATGGCTGGCGCCTCGGCCAAAGCATTTCAACAAGTGCCGCTTGCTAAATCTAACAAACAAAAATAAACAAAGAAAAAGCCCTCGGGCACGCACACTTCACTATCTCTCTCTCTCACACACACCACTTGGGCCCTCCGCAAATTCTGCTATACACATCGTTGGTATTTGTATTTTTTTTCGGGGGGGGATTATTTTAAATAATTATAAAACGTGCGTTTTTAGCTGTTCGCGGCGGATGCCTCTGCCGTCTGGACGTCCTCGTCTTGCTCCGACCGCTCGGGCTCATGGGAGTCTCCGTTGGCGGCCGCCACTCCGTTGGCTGCGGCCTCCGCCGAGGAGGTGGCGGCGGCCGCGGCGTCGTCGTCGCCATCGGCCACTTCGCCTTCCGGCATCACGAAGCCCTTCTCCGAGAAGGCCTGCTTGTGCGAGGTCACCATCGCCTCCAGCTGCTGCACCTCGGCCTTCAGCTTAATGATGTCGTCCCGCCTGGAACCCCACCCCCCCCACAGCGCGCAGCCACAGGACAAACGCAGGTGTGTTAACGTCACGCGCGTCACGGTGTCGAGGCACAAGGCCCCTCTCTGCGCGCGATGCCTTGCTCATTTCGTCAAGGAGCATGAACGGTCACGTGAACTCCGGTCATCATCACAGACGCGGCTTTTTGGCCGCCGGCCATCAAACAAAGACGGTGGTCACCGCATCGCGGGGCGCTTTCAGTTGCGCTTCTGCGGCCGTCTGGAACGCGCTCTTCCTTCCGAAATTAGGAAGCCACTGAAAACGAATTTCTTTAAAATTGCTTTGTGTGTTTATTTTGTTGTCCTTCCCCCGCACCTCCAATTAGCACGGATGGCTACGTACGGTGCGAAAGAAGTTCAACAAACATACATCACGGCAGCATTACTCCACAGAATTCACCTCTAGAATAAAATAGTTTCATGTATGAGATAAAACATTTTTTTAGAGGTTTGCTTATGTACAAATACAATCCTGAGAGTGCCCGATTTTGTTGGACCTGTGAAGCTAAGCAGGCTTGGGCCTGCTTTGTACTTGGATGGCAGAGCAACAAGTATCGCCGCCTTGCGCTGCGAGGCGATCAGAGAGGAGAGGAGTGCAGGACTGGATTGTTGAGTCTATCTGTGGAGAGCTTTGAGTGTTGCACTTCATTTAGCGCGCGGGTTGCAATTTTATTTTGCTCAGTCTGTGTTAGCCGCCGAGGGCGTGGTGGGAATCTTTCATTACACCTGTTGTTGTGTGCCCCCTGTGCCGTTCCCATGCACCGATGTCCCGTGGCGGATTAAGCTAGTGCGGGGCCTGTAGGATATGTTATAAAGGGGGCCCTAAATTTAAAAACCCACCAAATGTTTAACTTGCATAGCAAATTGTATTTTTTCATTTGCTATACAGACAGATAATACGACAAATCGCCAACCTGAAACACCCAGTCGTTCATAAAAGTTGAAGGCAGTAAAGTACTATAGTAATAGAGCAAGTGCAAAATCACTGAACCGGAATTGATAGCTTGAAAGCGTTTAGCGCGGGGCCCTTGAAAGTGCGGGGCCCATAGCATATGTAGCTACCTTTGCTACTAGGATAATCCAGCACTGCCGATGCCTACCTTTATTGGCACGTAAAATAAAGACCGATCGATTGATTGTTACGTCCCTTCGCACAGGCTGTCTTCGCGTTCTCCGGTTTCCCCTGGCAAAGCCAAACACATTAACCAAGTGGAAATGGCCAGACTACGCTCTGATCCACTCTCAGTTGTTAAATGTCGGTGTACTAGGTGCGCAAAATGTCCCCTCGCTAATATTATCGGTTCAACCAATGAGTGAGTTACCAGTGACCATGCGTGGTCTTTCTCACTGCTCGCCTAATAAAGTTACTTAAATTACCTCCCACCTGCGCCTTCACTGAGACTCGTCAATTTCGCCCCGTCACAGACAGTCACGATTAGGTCTCTGGTGCATAGTCGGAGATTCAAAACTAACTTTCTAGACTGAAAACTCATTGCTTTAGAACTGCTTGTGTGCGTTTTGTTTGTTGTCCTTCCCCCGGCACCTCCGATTAGCGCGGATGGCGACGTACGGTGCGAAACAAGTGCGAGTTCAACGCGCATCGCGCTTTTCAGGATTTTTCTTCCGGCTACCGTCATCGTTTCGCGAAACGCTGCGTTGACAAAATATCCACAATCGGTGCTTTCAGTGGTTCTGCGCGCGGCCGCTCGGGGGCAGGGGGGTCAGCAGGAGCAGCAGTACAGGCGCTCACCCGAGCGTGGGCAGTACGATCCCGTTGACGGCGTTGAGCAGCTCCAGGATGTTCTGCATGCTCGGCGCCGAGATCTGCAACAGCAACGGGCGCAGCAGAGTCACCGACTCGTCGCACGAGGTGCCCGCGATTGACGCTTACTCGGCCAGCAATGATTCACAAACCCCCCCCCCCACCCCCGATTCCCCCATGTGGAATTTAATAACCGGGGGTCACGATTTTTGGCTGCGATTAGATTCGCGGGTTATTTGATTTTTGGGTCTATTGCGCCGTCTGCGCGAGCACATACGTCAGTAGAAGCGCCGTCAGCAGTCTCAAATCGGTTAATCCACGGACGTGTGCTTCCATCCTGTGACCACCACCCCCCCACCCCCGTAGCTGCCAGCGAGCCTTGGTCACTTCACGTGCCCTCTAAGCGGCACGAGCGACGGTGGTGACATCGGCGTCGCCTAACGGCGACCACCGGGATCAGGCCGAGCGGTTTCACCTGCGGGGGCGCGATGCTGGGCTTGGCCCCGTTCTTGTAAATCTCGTTCATGGTTCTCTGCAGAGCCACCGCCTGCTGGGTCAGGTGCTTCAGGTACTCGGAGCTGCCCACGGTCTTCTCGTGCACGTCCCCGAACTGCGCGCGGGCAGGCACACACCGGGGGGACTTACGCGCGTACCGATCGAGTGCGACGCACAGATTTCAAAACGGTTAACCACCCGCGCTTAAAACTCGCGACGCGCGCAAAACCCGCTTCCCCGCCCGCCCGCTCGCGCACCTGCGCCTTGTAGATGGTGTACGTCTCCTTCTCGTGCTGCAGCGCCGAGCGGAAGTCTCCCTTGCTTGAGAAGACGCGTGCCAGCAGGTGGTGGCTGCAGGGCACACGCACGCACGGAACATGAGCGCACACAGACACCACGCACACAGACAACACGCACACAGACACCACGCACACAGACAACACGCACACAGAAAACACGCACACAGACACACGCACACAGAAAACACAAAGACCCCCCCGCCCCCCGTATAGCCTGTAACAGACAGTTGGGGCAAGTGCTGTTAGCGAGCACCTATGAAGGCCGGCACGGCACACAAGGGGGTGGGTGGCCAGCACCACGCCCGGCCGCCTTTGTCTGACCCAGTGGCGATGATTTTACACACCGCACCAGGTACTCATTTGAGGCTGAGTCGACCTAGGAGAGACCCAAGACGAGTTCAGATATTAGTCACTGGTGTTAGCCATGAGCGAGAATCGAACTCGGGCATGCGGGTTCGGAGCACACCGCTCTATTCGCTACACTGTCGCTCTGCTGCACATACACACACATGCACGTAGACCTATATAACCTACGCACACACACAAGGAGCAACACAATCACAGACACAATCACTGACACAGTAACTCTTAAGTGTCCATGAGCGCCATCTGGTGTTAGAGGGACTCCTATTAAAATGTACTTATTGACGTATAACACGGAATAATTCTCGTCATTGTGAATATAAATGAAAATGTAATCAAACAACGCGTCTGCTTCGTCAACGGCAACGATTCAGTAAAAGAAAATTCGGGACCCGTTTTTCGACATTGCTGGGAATGAGACAAGGGGGGGGGAGGGGTGGGGGTGCGATGTTGATGAAAACGAGAACGATCTTGATAACGGTACAACCAAAATGACGATAATGAATGACAATGACTACAGACGATCGTCATGATCATGACACGGACGCCGAGAATGACGTTGATGATAACACTGCCGGCTAAAATAACGACGCCTGTAGGTTACAAATTTTGACGAGGACAACGATTGATGAGAACAATGATGACGGCGACGTTGCGATAGCTTCCATTCTGCATGACGACGACGACGACGCTTCTGACGACGCCGTTACTTGCGCGACGACGACGACGTTCGAAGCGGCGGCGGCTGTCACCTGAGTGCGGCGCGGAGGCACTTGCCGCCGGCGTACTTGACGTTGGTGCCGTGCGCCTTCTCGAGAAAGCGCAGCGCCAGCTCGTACTCGCTCACCCCGTGCAGCATCAGCCCGATGTTACTCTGCGCGCGACGGGAGAGACGCAGGTCAACCTCAGGTTATATTGCCGCTCGTTGTCGTCGAAGCCGCCCCCCAACGTCCATCCCCGGGCTGAACTTTCCTTTTGCGTCTCGTTTGTCGTCCTTTTCCCCGCACCCTCCCGGATTGCCACGGTTGGCTACGTGCGGCGCGGAAGAAGTTCGACACGTGTACACACACACGTACGTGTACACACACACGTACGTGTACACACACACGTGTACACACACACGTACGTGTACACACACACGTACGTGCCGTCCCCACCCACCACTGCCGTGCATGGACACTCGCCACCCCCTCCCCGTCCACAACACCCCTCCAACGTCCCAAACCAGCCCCAAACGCCGTGTCTGAGGGAAGGGGGTGGGGCTTGAACATAAAGGGGCGGGGCCTAAAGAAGAAGGGGCGGGGCCTAAAAAGGAAAGGTTGGAGCTGTAAGAGGAAGAAATGGGGGAGGGGGCTATTCAGGAAGGGGTGGAGCCTACAGAGGTTTAAATTATCTGATGATTTAAGGGAATAAACCCATAGAATCAAATAAATGCAGCGGGAAGCATAGGTTTCATGGCACCGATCCGGTTAGGCTATACGGGGAAAGTGTCTGTGGGTGTACGTTCAGGATCGTCAACCCAACTTCACTTCCCAAGGCCTCGCAAGCAGCCTCGTGGCTGCGAGGCTGCCAAATCCCGCTGCTCACAGCACCTAGGCGATGAAACGCCCAGCAAGGTTGAAGGCTGTGGCACTGTGCATGCTTTGCACGCCGAATTACGAACCCGGCCACCTGAGTCCGATTCGCTGGCCGAGGCTTAACATCAGTGGTGTCAAGCAAAATGCGAAATTGGCCCTGGGTCTCCTCCCGACCCCCCCACTAACCCCTCTTTTACCCAACTCGTTGAGCATGGTGAAGTATGGTGCAACAAGCCCCGACGACCGAGACATTATTATTAGTTTATTCATATTCGTGTTTATTATTATTATTAGTGTTTTGCACGAGGCGGCACTTACGTCGAAGACGGCCATCTGCGGGTGATCCTCTCCCACGAGCAGCAGCGCGAGGTAGCGCCCGCGGTAGAGGAGCTTCAGCGCGGCCGAGATGTGCGCGTTCGTGAAGCAGTAGAGGGCAAAGTTCATCTGGCAGGATGGCGAGGAAACGCGCGTCACGCGGGGCACGGCGTGCGTGCGCCAGCCACCGTTAGCCCGCTCAAAAGAACGTTCCTAAACTCAAAAGGGACGCGCCTATCGTGTCCCACGGCCAAGAGCCGATTGTTTTACAATTAGAGCAATTTGTACGCGGCGAACGTACCGTTGGGTTAGCGGAAACGAACAAGAAGGGACACTTGCGATGAGAGTCCAACCGAGACGGTTACATAATTGATTCTTCAATCGAATCGTAGCCCACGAAATCGTCTCGATCCGACAATTTATGAAATCGCTTGGGGGGCAGTGAATGGATAGAAACTACAGACACACAACAGGGTAAAGCGCCCTGGCTGAGAGAGTGCAAATGCAGGGAGGTACTCACGTATTCCTGGATGGTGTACGGGCTGTCGATGCCGAGGACTCGCTCGCTCATCATGGTGGCTTTCTCCTGGCAGCTCAGAGCCTGCAACATTGTACGAGACAGAGACAAAGGTCACCCGAATAGCCTTGAACAGACCCTGTTGGGGCAAGCGCTGTCAGCGAGCATCTATGAAGGCCGGCACGGCGCACGAAAAGGGTGGGTGGGCCAGCACCACACCCAGCCGCCTTTGTCTCCAATGCTTATATTTTTGTTACACTCTGTACCAGGTACTCATTTAAGGCTGAGTCAATCTAGGAAAGGCCCAGAACCGGTTCAGATAATCGTCACTGGTGTTGGTCGTGAGCGGGAATTGAACTTGAGCTGCCAGGTTCGTAGCGCAGCGCGCGCTAACACCTACGCCAAATACCAAGAGCCCCCATTATAGCCTTTGTCTCCTTAAGTGGCGATGTTCACACGACGCACCAGGTTAACCATTGGAGGCAGAATCGACATGCGTAGAGAAATTAAGACGTTTGCACGTACACAAAAACACATCCGCAGCAACAACAACCGCCATTCGCCACTAAGTGGCGGTGACGTCACCACGGCGCTTGTTCCGGGCTAAGCACACACACACAGACACACGCACGCTGGCGTGTGCGTGGCGTCGCGTCCCCACGCACCTCTCCGTGGTCGCCCAGGATGTAGTGTAGGCGTGCGAGGAGACGCAGGCAGGCGATGATCTCGGCGTGCAGCGCGCCGTACACGCCGTTGTAGAGGTTCAGCGCCTCTCCCAGCTGCGTGCAGCCCTCCTTGAAGAAGCCTGCGCGGCGGCACAGTCCGGCCACACGCACACAGACAGACACACACAGACAGACAGACAGACCGCGCGTGTCAATGTCGTCGTCAGCCAATGGTTTCGCTTGCACGGTGCGTGCGAGGGAGAGGGAGGGGGGGGGCAGGCTCCCTTTCGTTGCCGCGGTGACAACGTGGGGGCAACTACTCGGGGGATCCCCGTGATCCGCAGCAATCCGGGGAAGTTCCTCCCTTGTCGGCACTGCCCCTGCCTCACCCTGCTGTATGTGCGCCTGGGCGGTCTGGAAGATTCGCTGCGCGTCCGTGGCGCGCGCGTCCAGGTGCTTCACCACCGGGAACATGTTGAGGATGTCCTCCTCCGTGAAGGTCGCCTTGTGCCGCCCCTCGAAGTTGTACTCCCGGAGCAGCACCTGGAATGTGCGGGGGGCAAGGGGACGCGCGCTGAGCCCCCCGCGTTGTCCGGCCCTCCCCGCGAGCGAGCGAGCGAACGGACGGACGAGCGGACGGTCGAGCGGCCGAGTGGGACGTAAAACGCACGGAGCCTCCGCGCTCTCGTTCGTCTTACGCCGGACGGAATGAGAACGCGATCGGCGTTTTGGGGTTCACCCCCGCGTCCAACCCGCCACAAGCGGTTCTAATTTTGCCGCAATTCAAATCTGGATCAGATTTACTTTTCGCCAAATGTTTACCATCATCTCGTACACACCTGTTTCGCATATGTTGCCGAATCGTTTTTTCCTTACGGTTTTTATTTTAAACTCCAATTCCCGGAATGTAACGACAGCAAATTATATAGATATAATCTGCACGAATGGTAAATAATCGAAGCTCACCCTTCGCTGCACGTACAGCGAGTTCCAACCGATTAACCGATACATCACAACATGCCTAGAGAATAAGCACAGGGACTAATCCCGAAGACTCAAAATAGGAAGGTTGTTAAGTTCAGATCCTGGTCAGCGAATCACCTCGGCCCATCATCTTCGTCACCACCATCTCTCGGGGATAGCTAAAGTAAGATAAAAAACACAATCGCCTAAGTAATCTTGTGCCTGACCGGTTGCATAAAAATGTGGACTTTGAGGCTCAAGAACAGCACCGGGATGGTTTGAGCATGGGGGACACTGGCTTTACCTACAATGTCTCTGCTTTAGCCATGACGCGTCACATTTTGCTGAAAAGTCGAGCTCCCACTTAGAAAGTCGAGTCCTGCCCAGAGTTCAGTCCCGTCACCATCATCACCCCTACCCACCGTCTTTAACAGCATAAAGGCCAATTCACTTGTCCATTTTACACAGCATCAATGGTCAAGTTCTCACCACCACCGAGTAACCCCCCACCCCCATTGCCTCCTGAACGTGTCACCATCATGTATGTAATGTGTGCGTGTCGGAACTTCTTTTCGCACGCCGTACGTAGCCAACCGTGCTGATCGGAGGTGCCAATGTTGGTCGCTCGCGGCCACGGCCACTGACGACCGCGACGACTCACCTGGATGCCCCCCTTGAGACAGATCTCCCGCAGGAGCGCGAGCTTCTGGATTCCGTACTTCTCCAGGGCCTGGTCCACGCCATCACTGCCACAACGAGACCAGGCTGCGACTTAGGCCAGACTCAATCAACGATGAACCCAAACCCGCGTTATTTCCCAGCTCGCACCTGGAGTGGACGGCAATTTGCAGAATCCCTCCTCCCCTCCTACCACCCTTAGCAGTGCACATCCACTGGGTTTGCACAGTCATGTTGGTGAAATAAAAGAGGCATTTATAATCCAAAGTCGATTAATAGTAATATCAACTTGTAAAGCGCACAGTAAATCGCTTACTCTCATAAATAGAGAACGATTCGAAGGAACGAGAAGCCGCAGATATGCGGGGTAAGCCGGAGCCAACAATTGGCCAAGTTCTGCAGTCCGCTATATAGTAATGTGTTATCGGCCAATTCATTAATTCCTTAATGTTTGTGTGCGCGAGGAAAACGGAGCACCCAGGGAAAAACCCAAGCGTGCGAGGGGGAAACACTCTATCCCATACAGATGGAGCGGGAGGTACGGTATTGCCGTACCTTCTCCTCCTGGCAAGTCCGGGGTATGGCTGCTCCTTGACGCGCACCCACGGCCAGGGAGCTTCACAAAAACTTGAACATTTACCCTCCAACCCTCGCTGCCGCCTCTACGGTACTCAATTACAGCCACGTTCGTAGCCGCCACCACCACCACCACCAAAGACAAAGATCCCCCCCGTCTAACCTTAACAGACTGTTGGGGCAGGTCCTGTTAAGCGAGCGAGCACCTAAGAAGGCCGGCACGGCACACGAGGGGGCGGGTGTGGCCAGCACCACCCTCGGCCGCCTTTGTCTCCAGAGTGGCGATGTTTACACGTCGCATCAGGTTACTAAATTTTTTTTTTTCTCCTTAAGAGTCGACCTAGGGGGAGGGCGGCCCAGGACCGCTTCGGATAATCGCCACCGGCGTTGGCCATGAGCGGGAATCGAACTCTGGTCTCCGCCGGGTTCGTGGCGCCCCGCCAAAGATCCGGTCCACCGCTGCGCCCGCTCACCACTCGAGGTCGATGGCGTAGTACTCGCGCGCCTCCGTGCGGATGCTCTTCCACAGCTGCTGGGGGGACAGCGCGGCCCAGCTGCCGCTGTCCGTGCCCGCGCCGTGACCCCCGCGCTGGTTGCGCCGCCGACCACGCCGCTTGCCCTTGGGCGCCGACGACGCCGCGTCCTCGGAGGCCTGCGCGTTCGTTCGTCCGGCGATTCGCCGATAAAATTCGATTCGGTGGCGCGTTCAGCGATTCATTCATTCAGCGATTCGTTCGTTCACTTACACCAATTCGGTGACCCGTCCAGTGATGCGTTCACGGATTAATTAAAAGTTTCAATTCGGCGACTCGCTCGTAAAATTCGGTTCGGCGACTGCGGCAGTGCCGCACGCGGACAAGCCGGTCCCACAGCGGCCGGCGCATGCGACGCTCCAAGCAACATCTGGGGGGGTGCGACACGGACCAGCGATGCGCTGGCGATGAAGCAGCGAGCAACCGGTCTCGCCCCAACACTGCGACCTCCCCCCCCCCCACCCCGCGGGCGTCGCGAGTTGTCGGTCGCCATCACCTGCGCGTTCGACGCGGAGGAGTTGTTGTTGTTCGCGGTTCCCGCACCCCCGGCGCCCAGGGCTGCGGTGCCCGACGAGGAAGACAAAGAGGAGGAGGAGGAGGAGAGGGCTCCGGGGTTGGAGCAGGCGCTCAGGAAGCAGTTGAGGAAGTGAGCAACGGCGATGGAGAGACCCGACAGGTCAGTGTTCTGTAGGGGGAGGCGGGGGCGGAGGGGCGCGTGCAACATGGAACACGCAAACAGGCAGCGCACGCTCGCACGTGGAGATGGCATCGTGTAGATATCACTCACCGTGCTCACCCCCCACCCCCCCCGCCAAGACAAAGATCCCCCCGTATGGCCTTAACAGACAATCGGGGCAAGTGCTGTTAGCGAGCAGCACCTATGAAGATCGGAACGGGCACGCGAGGGGGTGGGTGGCCAGCACCACGCCCGGCCGCCTTCGTCTCCCCAGTGGCGGTGTTTACTACACACCGCACCAGATACTCATTTGAGGCCAAGTCCACGGCTTGGTAGCGCGGCGCGCTAACCGCTGGACTACCGCCCCCCCCCCCCAGACACCGGGGCACGTAGCCACGGCAGCGGCAAAAAGCCACGGGGGGGGGCACCTCTGGCGGCGACTCCGCACCGGGGGCACGACCGCCGCGTTTGTTTCCACAGCTCCACCAAGTGACGATGTCGACGCATCGCTACCAGGTGCCCGTTTAAGGCCGAGTAATTCTAAGGGGAGGCCAGGCCCAGGACCGTCCAGGGGGCGACGCTCATCGCAACATGCACAGACACGCGCGCACAGGATCACGCACAGGATCACGCACAGGATCACGCACAGGATCACGCACAGGATCACGCACACCGCGCACACGTGCGTTAAGCAAGGGCACCGTTTAACGTCCTGCTCTCAAAACATGGAGCCAGTCTCTTTCGTCGTGCGTCATGCAGCCAGATGGAATTACGGTTCAGACTGCTTGGCAAAAATCTCATCATGTGCCGACCTCGGCTCGTCATCCTTCCCGACAGATTAAAAAACGGCGACCGTCTTATGCAGAGACCGGACCACCGTCATGGGAATGTGTAAATTCCACCGCAGGCTCAGGGGCTGCAGACAGCGATGAGCACACCCCAAAGCAGCCGATCGGGAGAGCATGCGGATGCTTTTCCCCGTTACAATTAATGACAGTCGCAAACGCGACATCGCTCGCTCGTCGTGACCGACGGTTTACCTGCAGGTAGGTCCTGAGAAGATGCTTGGCCGACCTCGTGATTATCTCCACGATGACCAGGCTCTGCACAACGGAGACGGATGTGCAAAGAGAGAACACCTGAAGGCCCGCTGGCCACAGATGGCACGAACTCGCATCGTCACGAACTCTGGCATCCTCAAGAGCGCCAGGGACTTTTGTGCGAGCGTCGAGAGCGACTCACGTGGAGGTAGGAGATCTTGTGAGCGTCGGGTAGGCCGGTGATCATCCGGGCGAGCGTGCCCAGGTAGCGCAGCCCGATCCCACGCCGGTGCAGAGCCTCCACCAGCGTGGAGCCGTCCATGGGCACCACCAGCTGCTCCATGCAGTCCTTCAGCTGCAACAACAACCACCACCACCAGCAATGGCATTATTACTCTCTAAACTCGAAGGTTACAGGAATTCATATTCTTGGTTCTTTCGGTAAAGTCACGTAGATAGAAAACACAAATAAAATATAAAATAATTTCTATCTACGCGACTTTACCGAAAGAACCAAGAATATAAACTCGAAGGTGTTCGTAGCCAATGCAAGGATCCATTTTAGTTTTTGGACGAGGCCCACGTGGTCGTTTTATAGCGACATTGTTGTCGACGGCCCTCCACCACCCGACAAGATTGTCACGAGGGAAGGGAGGGAGGGGAGGGAGCGAAGGGAGGGAGCAGGGGACGGAGGGGACGGAGGGGAGGGAGCGAGGGGAGGGAGGAGGGGACTCACAAACGCCGGCATCTGCACAGAGACGAGGAAGGCAGCCGCCTCGAACAGCAGCCGCTTCTGGTGCTGAACGGACTCGCGCTCCGACTCCGGGAAGCGCACGGCTGCACGCACAAAGACAAAGATGTCCCACAGAGCCTTGACAGACGTGTAGGGGCAAGTGCTCTCAGCGAGCACGGACCCAGGGGTGGGGGTCGCGGTAGGGGGTAGTGGTGGGGGGGGGGGGGGGGATGACAGCGGTGGGGGGGGGTCACGGTGGTCTCCGCTCTCACTGGGGGTGAAGACGTCGGGGTTGAAGCGGATGTCGAAGAACGCGTCGTTGACAGAGCCCACAGCTCGGCACGCGTTGCGCATCACGTCATGGCCGTTCACCTCTAACACGGTCGGTCCCGTTGCACGATCACACAAAAACATAACATTGCACCATTAGCCACAAAATGAATTCGCAAAACAACCATCGCGCGTTGAACCAATTGGCAAAAAGAACAATTCCGCATTGACTTAACGGTACAATTATTTACTTACACGATCGATCCATTACACAACTGATTAATTACACAATCAAAGCGCTACAAAATTATAAACGCAATCTATTCTTTACGCAACGAGTAATTTTTCACAATTCTTTGCAGAATACATAGCAAGCGACGCCATCCATTAATGACGCGATCAATAACACAGAGTCATAAGCAGAGAAGATGAGGGACGGAGTTTAGGGCAGAGACTTTAATCAAGAAACCCGGGTCTCAAACGCAGAGGGCGTTCCAGACAGCAGGAGCAGCAGATTTTTTTAAACTAATACGAAAAGATTTTTTATTTTACCAGGTAAGAAAAAGGCCCACTGAGCTATAGATGTTTTCAAAAGCGACTTCGCTACCACAAGTAATAGCTCAACGAAGTGACTGATCACGTAGAAATGTACAGCAGCCAAATCCTCCAAACGCGTGATGCCGATTCTAAATGTGGAGGGAAAACCCAGAGGAAAATCCACGCAGCAACAGTGAAATACAAGACCACGGCGGAGTTGACCGTGGTGTACGGGCGGCCCCTCTCACCCGCATCGTCGGTGCCCTGGGCCTCGTCTGCGCCTTCCTTCTTGAGCGCCTTGTGCTGCGAGATGGCGAGGTGCATGAACTGCTGGTGCCTGAGACGCGCACACGCAAGCACAAGCACACCGGAGTCAGCGAGACCGCCGTACGGTCGTCACCGGACACACGTGCCGCCGTCACATGACCAACGCATCATTGTCACGTGACCCAATGTAGCACAGTTTGTCGTCTTTCCCCCCGTGCCTCGGATTACCGCGGTTGGCTACGTACAGTGCAAAAGAAGTTAAAAATATACACACAGTTGTGCGACTTTCCCGAAGAAAAAAACAAAGCTTTATCGGTACCGAGGCTCGCACAAGACCATGCGCGGGAGGGCGCGTGGCACGGTTTGGTGCCAGCTATCAGAGTGTGCGGTCGTGTTGCTGAAGTTCTCTGCCGTGAATGCTATGTCTTTAAAAACAACGGCGCTATGCCTCTAAGTAAAATTCACGCCGAACCGCTTTCGCATTTCTGAGATTCGGCGGTGAGCGGCACCACCCACCCTGCAACTTGCAGTCTTCTCGGCACAGGAAGGGGTGAACAAATCACCGTTACGCTACCGTCATCACCGCGATCGCCGCCGCCGCCGCCGCCACCTCCTGACCAACACGTCGATGGTCGTGCGAACGACAGGCCACCACCGTACAACACGAGCGACTACTCCCGCTGGTAATGACTGCGGGACGCGACGAACGTTGGCAGTCGTAGTTTACGTAACAACCACTCTGCTCCATCCCCGCAGACCCCCCGACCCCGTGCTACTCACTTGCTCTGTACGAAGGCATCCACGAGCTCGTGACGCAGGCAGGGCAGGCGGTGTCGATGCGTCCTTGGGAAGCCGAGGCTCGTGCACACCTCCGGGAATGGAACCTCCTCCTCCTTCTTCTTCTTCCCCTGCTCCTCCTCCTGATCCTCCTCCTTCTTCTTCCCCTGCTCCTCCTGCGCCGCCCCCGTCTCCCCGCCGTCGCTCTCCGCGGCTCGGACGTCGTCCGTGGCCTCGGCCATGGCCATCGGCAGGAAGTTGGCGTCGGGGGGGAAGGTGCGGATCAGGTCCAGGATGTAGTGGCGGCCGTCGTTACCCACGATGCCCTTGCACTCCACGGAGGAGCACAGCTCCACGGCCTCGTCTTTCTCGTTGAGAACCTGCAAAGGAAGAGGTTTTATTTATTGCGTCAATATCATAAATACAGGGGGTCTCAAAAAAATGTTAACACTCACATGGGACTATCGCTTTCAAAGTCTCCACTTGTTCGCCATCGTTGTCAACGTGTACCTGGAATCTTCTCCAGGTGGACTCCAGAGCCCAGAGGCAGTAGCACATGTCACGTGGTGTTGTTGCAAATTCTCAGAAATGTCAACACTTTTTTTTTAAGCACCCTGTATTTCGGTTTAACACCCTCTGTGTATGGGGGGGGGCACAAGCTTGCAACAATAATAATAATACTGTGGCTTCAGAAACACAGCGTGCTAGAAGAGGGAGGTCAGCGTGACCACGATGTGTCACAGCAGGGCGGGAGGGGGGCAGCCGATCCTAGCGGCCCGATCCGTCTGTGCACATCGTGGTTGTGAATTTTCTCCAGGCACTTTTCGGCTCCCTCTCGCTTGGCAAACACCAAAAAGTTGTTGACGCCGCTGTCCAAACGTCCGCCCTTGCCCGCGCCGGGTAACAGCCGTCGTGACGTGCCCGTGCACGCGCTTACGGGCCCGTACCCCGTGGGTGCACACCCGCCACACGTGCGTACCAGCGCGCACAACGAACGTCCTGGCTGCACCGACAACCGTGCACGCGTAGGTTCACACGCCAACGTGCACACTGCCAAGTGCGCACGTACAATCCCCACGCACGGCGAGATCGGTCGGATGCACGGATCCGCACAAGCAACGTGCGCGTGCACGAGCAGCCGAGCCAATTGGCGATGTCGGGTCAAGGTGGCACGGTGGTGACACTCGGTGGCCTGATCGGCCACAAGAATGGGCCCTGGATGAGATCCTCAACAACTCGGGTGTGCGTTCCTGCGCGTGAAGTCCGTATGCCTTCTGCCACCCCCCTTCCCCCGTATTCTGCATGGGTTCCATCCAGGTTCTCCGGTTTCCTCTCCAAAGCAAAAAAAAAAAAAACCGCCACGTAAATGTAACTTGGCAAGCGAACACGGAGACTCTCTGCGAGGTCTTCCCTCGGTGAACAAGCGTAACAGTAACGGTAATGAACAATACAATTAGTAGTAACAACAACAAACAAACAAAATACAATTAGTAGTAACAACAACAAGCAGTAACAAACAATAGAAACCTTGTGGCGCAGGATGTGCAGCGGCTTGGCGACGCGCTCAAGCAGCGTGGTGAACTTGCGCGTGGTGGCGGCCGTCGTGAGCTTGCCGGACGACGAGGAGCAGGCGACGGTGGCGCCGAAGTCGAGGGAGCCGTAGGCGATGGCCTGCTCCTGCTCGCGCTCCAGGATGCCGGGGATCACCGACTGCGCCGTCACGCGGTAGCCGCGGTAGTCCACCAGCGCCGTCGCCAGCACGTGCAGCCCCTCGGGGTCCAGGGCCGACACGGCGCGCACGCCAGCCAGGTCCAGGGCCGGGGCCACGTGCGCCGCCGCGTCGCCGCCCACCGCCTGCGGAAGGGGCGAGGAGCCGGGTTAGTCGCGCGGCGACGGCTTAACGATAAAAATGCGCAGTTGGCATCGTCGATCGGGTGCCCCGCGCGTCGTGGAGGAGGAGGAGGAGGAGCGTCACGGGCGGAAGAAATGGTCGCTGGCGGCCGTTGCCAGGTTAACGCCGCGGGAGCGGCGGCGGCGTAGGGAGTGGTTCGCGGCGTCTCGAGCTCGTGAACCCGCGGGACCGATACGCCAAACCGTTAACGGAAGCGATATCGGAACGGCTCCGGGCGCTCCCGCAACCTTCACCAGCCCGCGCCGACCAACGCGGTGAAGTTTGTTTAAATAGGTTTGGGATTTAAACACGTGACAGCCCCCCCCCCCCCCGCCACGCTCCCTGCGGCCCCCCCCCCACTCTTGCCTTGTAGTGGTCGCGCACGTCGAAGCCCAGGCTGAAGAAGATGTTGTTCCACAGGAACATCTGCGTGCGCGCGTCCTCCCCGGGGTTGATGGCCATCACGTTGCCGTCCGCCACCGCCATGGCGCCGCGCGCCGCCGCCGCCGTGAAGTCGCTCTGAACCTGGAGCGCGCGCGGGGGAGGTCCACGATGGTGCCACCGGCGGCGGTGTAAAAAAAAAGATTTATTAAAAGGAAGCCAACCCCGCCCACTGCGGATCCCACTTCCACCTGGGACCACGTGCCCCACACCCACCCCACCCCCAATGCCCAAAGATCCGCGGATCCACAATTGTGACTCCTCGGCCACCTGAAGAGCCACCACCCAAAACCTGACGGACGTCATCCTCCAACCGCGAGGGGAACCGCCGCCGTCGACAGCAGAAACACTCGCACCGTTTTAACAGGAGGACCACGTGAAAGGGTCTCCCCGTCTCCGCAAGTGGAAGGCCAACAAGAGAGTCCCGCAATGTGACCGAGGAGACCGTCGCCCCAAACGACGCTTCACCGGGAAACTCCCGAGTGCATCAACGCGAAACCGGCAGGCTAAGCCAAGCCGGCACGCCAAGCCGGCAAGCAAAGCCGGCAGGCGAACCCGGCACGCGGCTCACAACACTTTAGCAGTAACGCACAGAATCCAGCCGCATGCCCGAAATATTATTTGGGCTCATCGCTAGCAAACGGCTCGCACGAGGTCATGGGTCAACGCTGGTATGACCCCAGTGTCAGGGCCACTGTGGCACAGCACCAGAGTCGTGACCAGGGACTGCCAATGTGATATACGATAGGTACACGTCAGCATAGGTAAATGTATACAGGTTTGCAAGTGTGTACAGGTGTGTAAAGGTGAGTGTGTAAAGGCGAGTGTGTACAGGTGAGGGTATACAGGTCGGCGTGTGCAGGGACGCTCGTGCCTTGAAGATGGCGCGGTCTCTCAGCAATCGTTCGGTCAGGTTCTTGTGAGGAAGCTCTCGCGTCGCTTGGATTTCCTCGTTCCAGTCGCGTGTCTGCGGAACAGCGACGCCTCAGCTCCACGTGACACAGTCCCAGCACAGCGTACCGTGACACAGCCCGCGCAACGTCACGACACACCGCCCAACACCGCGATAGTACGCACACAACACCGCTCGGCAGCACGCGCGACATGAAGGACATACGCCGGGCAAAAACGCAATTCACCAATCAACATCGCCGCACAACATCAAGCAGACGCAGCCACAATACACCGGGCAACGTAACGCGACTACCACGATGCACCACACAGCGTCGCACAACACCGCGACACACGAGGTGCCGACAACGGCAAGGGCTTTGGGAGGTGGTTGAGGAGGAGTGCCGCCTTCAAGCACTCGGACTGAAAACTCATTTCTTGAGAACTGCTTTTTGCGTTCATCTTGTGGTCCTTTCTCCCGCACCTCCCGAATAGCACGGCTGGCTACGTATGGTGCGAAAGAAGTTTCAACACACAGTGCATACTTCCGAGGGGATCTCGGTGCCCCCCCCCAATGAAGAACAAAATCTTCTGAGGCAGGACACGCTACGAGGCGGCTGACCCCTGGCGAGGGATGACTCGGCAGCAACAGGACCCATGTGGAGGTCACCCAAGCGAAGAAGCTCCCGAGGCAAAGTCGACGTTCATCAGAAGAAGAACCTCATGGGGAGGATGCCGCCCCCCCCCCCCCCCCCGCCGCCCCCCTAGCGCGAGCTATCGCTCAACAGCAAGCAGAGGACGAGGGGACCTTGCAGCGAAGAACCCCACACACATGCCCCCACCACCCCCGCAAAGACAAAGACCCTCCATATAGCCCGAACAGACTTTTGGGGCAAGTGCTGTTAGCGAGCATCCGTGAAGGCCGGCACGGCACACGAGAGGGGTGGTGCGGGTGGCCAGCACCACGCCCGGCCGCCTTTGTCTCCCCAGCGGCGATGATTACGCACACCGCAGCAGGTTACTCATTTGAGGCCCGAGTCGACCTAGGGGAGGAGGAGGCCCAGGACCGGTTCAAGATAATTGCCACCGGTGCTGGTGGCCGTGAACGGGAACCGAACTTGGGGTCCCCCCGGCTTGGCAGCGCGGCGTAGCGCCGACCGTTAAAACTCCCGCTTCTCCACCGGTTGGACATGCAATGGTGGAGGAGAGAGCCCTGGCTAGGCCGATAACCGCACATGACAAGTGGCGGTTCCTCGTTGTGAGCGCGAGTCGGGGCGAACGCAGCAAGCGATGGCGCCTCGTCAAGCGTAGGCGCTGCCACGGTGGTGAGGAGTGGTGGGGGTGGGGGGGGGGGGAGGAGGAGGACACACACCTGACCCGGGATGTGCTCCTCGTAGCCCAGGCGGGAGGTGTAGGCCTCCTCCGCTCGCACGCAGTCCACCGTGTGCTCCAGCTGCGGGGCCGTCCAGCTGTACACCTGGAACGGCGTGGCCATGCGCTCCAGCGGGTGCCTCTGCACCCTGTGGGGGGGGGGGGGGGGGGGGGTGCGGGGGGAGGGGTCAAAGGTTGCCACGGCAGAAGGGGGTTCAAGCGCTCAGCGACGTCGGCTGTCGTGTCAAGGTCGGAGCTGGGCAACGCGTTTATTTTAATTACATTTTTAAAAAAAAAAATTTGTCGATCGAGCGAGCGTAAAGTCGACTCTTGCTCTCGCGATGCGTGCATCGAAAAAGTCCGCGTGAGAAAGGTTAGTTTGCAATCGATGCGGCAAGTGTTTCATGGAAGTAATGTTTAAAGACGATGAGAAAATAAGGCAAAAACAAGAAACGACGCGAACAAGGAGGTAATGGTGACGATAAAATAGTTATTGCGGTGGGGGAGGGGGGAGCATATTTGACAGATTGATTTGCTCCAATAGACAGAATGCGTAATTTGCATCTTGCTTATAAAGAAATTCGCACACGCACGATTTGATGCAGTGTATAAGAAACAATTGCCTACATACAAACATGTCCACATAGACACCCATATACTCATTTGAGGCCTAGAACCGGTTCAGAAAATCGTCACTGGTGTTGGTCGTTAGCAGGAATCGAACTCTGGTGGCTGGGTTCGTAGCGCTTACCGCTATGCCAGACCCCCCCCCCCCCCCTACCCCTTATAGCCTTTAACAGACTGTAGGGATAAGTGCTGTGAGCGAGCACCTATGAGGGCCAACAAGGCACACGAGGGGATGGGTGGCCAACACCACGACGGGTCGTCTCCCCAGTGCTGACGTTGAACACATCTCTCCAGCTGCTCATTTCAGGCCGAGCCAACGCAAGGTGGGTGGAGGGAGCCCCTACGCACGCACGACCACGCTCTCACACACACACCGCACGAGGCCCCTCACCGTTTCTTCTGCAGGATGGCGAAGTTCTTCTTGAACGTGGGGCTGATGAGCGCCAGCAGCTCCACCAGCGAGTGGGACAGGTGGCTGGGGGACGCTGCCTTCGGGTTGAACACCTCCGCCGTGGACCTGGGGGGGTCATGGGGGTCGCGGTGAGTAGCGGTGGTGGTGGAGCGATATAGCGTATGTTGAACTTCTTTCGCACCCCACGTAGCCAACCGTGCTAATCGGAGGTGCGGGGGGAGGGGAAGGACAACGAAACGCAAAAAATGCAATCCTGAAGAAATTACATTTAAGAGTGCACAGCTCCAACGGCTTCCTAACATCGGAAGGAAGAGCATTCCAGACGGCCGAGGAGGGGCATCCGAAAGGGCCACGCGACACAAACGTGTCAAGCCGAGCAATGCGGACGAACCGCCAGCCCCCCACCGCGCATCCCACCATCCCCTCCTTCCCGACCACTGCACCATCGACACACCTTCATCTCCCTTCCCCTTTCTACTCAGCTCCCCCCCCACCCACCACCCCCCACCCACCACCCCCCACCCCCACGTACTGGTTGAGGTAGAATCCGCGAGTGGAGGCGGTGATGCTCACGTGGCGGTCCTCAGCCGTCACCACGTACAGGTACATGAGGTCTCCGTGCATGCGGCGGTTCCCCGGCGGGGGGTTCCAGCCGCTCGTCGTCAGCACCTTCAGGCACTGCAGGGGCTGCGCGCCGCCAAGCCGGGCCGCAGTGACAACACAAAAGACAAAGAGAGAGAGAGAGAGAAAGGTAGGCTCAACAGACTGCAGGGGGCAAGTGCAGTTAGCGAGCAGCAGCAGCAGCAGCAGCACCTATGAAGGCCGGCACAGAGCACGAAGGGGTGGTGTGAGCGAGGGCGAGGACCGATGTTCACACACAGCACCAGATATTCGTTTGAGGCCGAGTCGACCTAGGGGAAGGCCCAAAGAGCCGTTCAGATATTTGCCACGGATGTTAGCCGCAAGCGGAAATGGATCTCGGTTCACCGGAGTTCGTGATGTGGTGGATTGAGAACACACACAAACCTTATTTCACAATGCAAACGCATGACAGGAAGATCCAGCAAGCTTTGCGTGTCAAGATGACTGCGTAACCATTCTTGCAGATATTCCACGCACAGCCTGCCATAGCCAGCAGTTCAGGAGCTGAAGGTGTAGCCTTTTTTTATTTTAAACAGTGAAAGGATCATAGAAAGGCAACTTTGGCAAATTTTCCTCATTAGCCGCAAAGAGTGCTCGAATTTGCCAAGCGACGAGTCGCCACGAGCTTCGTCACCAAGTTACGGCGATACAACGCGCCAGGCGACCACCCCTGCTGCCAGCGAGCAGGGCTTGTAAAACGCAACAACAATGGACAAAGCCCAGCGAGTGTGCGAATATAGGGGTAGGGCACAGCCAGGAATGAGATTACTCGTGAAAGCAAGTCAACTCGCACCCGCCTTAATTTTGATAACATTGGACCTGTGCAGCAGCAGTGGGGCTGTGGTCAGCATCAAGCTAAAGCACAGGCGGTGCATAGTCTGGTTGGAGCCAAAGCGACTCCCTGCCCAAAATGTGCAAATGGCATGGCACCCCCATCTCTACTCGTGGAACCGAGCAAGTGACGGAAATTCCATACGCCTACGGCAAGGGGCCATATTCTTACGGTAGGATGACCACAGTTGACGTCCCACAAGACGGTACTTAATTTATAAACCAAGGAAGAAGGATGATGGGATAAGTTAACTCTCCACCCCCCTCCCCCCCACAATGAAAATTTGAACTCACGACCTCACTTTTGAATAGAGCAGTCCACCCTGAAAGAAAATTGTAGGCGCCTGCATTTTCAATTGCCATCCAAACCCCACCGAGCGGCTCTGCTCGCCGAACCTTCGACGGTGGAACAAACCGGTTCGGTGGCCGGCGCACTGAACCGCCCAGCTCCCCCGGCCGCCCACAGCGAGCACACCGGTCAAGCACAGCGGGTTTTATCGTGCGGCGACGCGCAGCGAGAGAGTTGCGAAGCGCAGCCAGCGGGTCGCGAAGGGGAACGGCGTCCGACGGCTTTCACGGGTGGCGGCACCTTGTAGTCTCGGGGCAGCGGCTGCAGGGGGCACAGCAGGCGTTCCCGCGAGCCCGGAAGGATGTACTCGGGAGGGGTGCAGTCCACGGACTCGGAGCCCGCCTGCTCCAAGCCTGGGCGGCGCTTGCGACGCACGCCTTCCGCTGGAACGAAAACCACAAACCGTTTAAGTCCCCCACCCCGCCATAAACTACGCGGGCGGCCGGCTGAGCACTCCCGTTGCACGTGACCCGCTGTAAATTATTATCGACGCAAGGTGGGGCCGCCTCGAGTCTCAACCTCCCACCCCCCCCCCACGCCGCTCCAGCGGCACGTCGTACCCTCTCCTTCAGCAGAGTCAAACTGCTAGGGGAGGGGGGGGGCCTAGCGCACGCCGAGGTCCCGACTGGTCTCCATTCTACGTCGGTAACGACAGGGAGCTGCGGGGATCGTGGTGCGGTGCGCGGTAACCGCAACGCCGCCAGCAACCCCTTGCCGAGGGAGCACATCACGCACCGTGGCGTCGTTTTATTTTGTTGTGTTCATGCTCAAGTAAAACATTGTGTGTTCGTCCTCAATAAGTTGCCACCATAGTTTGGAGTGCAGCGGAAACACTTCAAGCTATAGAATGGCAAGGCAAGATTTTAACATTTGTAAATTTACAAAAAAGTGTAAACGCTGTGCTCAAGTGCCTTGAAAATTTTACAAAATTGTCCAGACTAGGGTGTCCGAATAAAATTGATTAAAGTCATTACTACTTGGTGAAACAGGATATTTTGTGTATTCTTAAGTTGCTTTGTTATGTTCAATTATTACAATTTATTCCAAAATAAGCATCACGGGGGCCTCGTATATATGACAAATCGTATTTAAACCAATTTCTGGAGTCCTTTTTTTTAAATACCTGCGCAGTGCTCGCTATGGCTACATTAAGTGCAAACCATCCACGTCAACCCGATTCAGTACAACAACAACACACACACCAAGGTTCGTTACCGTTTAAAGTGTCCGTCGTCCACATCGCTCGATTCGCCCAGGTTTTTTTTTTTCCCCAAAAGTATTTTGTTATTAACAAGACGATTCAGGTACACAACACAGAGGATATGCAAGGGGGTTGTGGACACCAGCACAAACCACACATTTCGGATTACAGTGTAAATGGAGACCTGTCTAAACTGCAGGTTTCAATAAACTCTACAAGACTCTGGTATCTTCCTAAACTCTGAAACCCCTGTAGGAGAAGGGGAAAAAGGAGGGGGGGGGGGGGAAGTGGAAGTGCATAAATGCCCTCATGAATGCTCTTAAGAATCAATGCCCACTGCAGGAGAGGTGGTCAAGGGATTCCATGTTTGCCCTTGGTTTTGCACTCGGATGCTCTAGAGCGGCAATTTTTGACAATTTCAATCGGCCTTTCCAGTTGGATATAATGGTGCGTTTTGCCGCCCCCCAGGGGTTTTCATCTCCCCACGTGCAGCACCGGCGGCAAAGCCCTCGGCCAACCGGAGGTAGCGACCCCCCCACCCCGCCCAGCGGGCCCCCCCTTACCGGCCACGTCCCCGTCGGTGACGGCGTTGAGGAAGGAGAGCGAGACGCCGTCCTGCCCGTTGTAGGCGTCCGAGAGGTCGGTGCTCTTGAGGAGGTCGCGCACGTGACGCAGGTGGATGCGCACCTCCCGGATCGTGTACGGCTCTGCGCGGAGCACGGGGCAGCGGGACGGCGGAGGGAGGTGGTTGGGGGGGGGGGGGGGGCGAACGGGACAACGACCATCGCCGAGCACGTTAGCCAGCGGCTCCGGGCGCTGGTTGGTTACAGTACGGTGCGAACGAAGTTAAAGGTACGGTACATGCATACGATTCGGCATGGCAACCGCCAGCAAAACAATGGTCTGAATTATTCATTTGGTGATGCGTTAGGGCAGTGGGTGCGTGCAAATTGTCCTTTGCGTGCTACGGAGAAGGGCGCATGTCCGAAACGTCGCTTAATATGCTTTTATCCTTTTAAAAGGCCAGTGTCAGACGATGCAAAATTACATGAATAATTTACATAATAAAATAACTTTTTAAATGCCACTGCAATCTCTAGATACTGTGAAAGAGCTGGTCATGCACATCAGAGGGAGCAGTGGAGAACGACGTTGTTTTAATTCTGCACCGGTGCCACCGATTTGGGGGATACCAACAGACAACCCGGCAGAAAAATGAGAAGATGGCTATGGGGAGGAGTGCCGAAGACATTTTTATCATAGGCAGGAATGCAGAGGGGAAAAGCGGGGTCTCTCTTCATGTAGCCTCGCAGAATACCGCGCACTTTGCGTCTGTGGGGTAAGCTAATGAACATCAGCCGCAGTGAGCTCGGAGCATTGTCACAGTGTGGATGGGGACAAACGACTGCTCCATTTTGTCCCAGTTCGCACCACACCTGCGTTCACACACACATTCGCAATCATGGCTTCACGTCTTGACCTCAGAACGCGTCACCGCGTTGAGACGAGCGTGGGCCCACCTTCACGCGTAGTGCCGAGGCGACGGATCCCACAGCCTGGGCCCTAGATCGTCACGCGACTTACCCACCCAACGGCGAGCCACCGCGGCCAACGCTGCGGTTGGCGAACCCGTCGAGGGACCAAGGGCAGCCCTCGGGGAATCCGATCCTCGCGCACAAACGCGCTGGCGACTTCGCAAGGCCGCTGCCCCCCTTTACAAATCCGTATACTCCCCCAACCCCTCTGCCCACCCTCCCCCCCGAATTTTGCCCCCCCGAATTTTGCCCCCTCGCTACAGCATTAAATACATCGTAAATTTGCTCTGTGCGAGTCAATTGAGTCATCCTCATTGAATACAGCTCATTCATTTATTTTTGTTAAGGCTCATTTTAATTACATACTTCCTCACTGTAAATTACAGTTGCGCAAAAAAAAAAAAACCCTCGATCGATTTCAGTCTCAAGCATTAAATGGTCCGGGCTTGTCTAAAATTGCCCGCAAAATGCGATTCTTCACGACTCGCATTTCGCGAGCTCGCATGGGGGGCTGCCACCCCACCGCCAAGGGATTACCTCTCGGTTTGGCACATCCTCAAAATCCTTTACGACCACAGCCTCCCAAAGTTCATTAGACCCGGCTCTAAAATCATTTGAATAGTGTTACAAGAACTAAGATATACAGTAAAACCTTGGATTGCGAGCATAATTCATTCCTGAGACGTGTTTGTAATCCAAAGCACTCGTATATCAGTTGTGATCACGTGACGCTCGGCAGACAAAGCGTATACGTACTGCTCGTATTGTAAGACCTTGCTCTTTTATAATTTTTATATTTATTTAAAATTTTTGCTCGTCTTGCAAAACACTCGCAGACCAAGTTACTCGCAATCCAAGGTTTTACTTTACATATCTTTTTTACCGTTAAAAGGATCCGAGTTTCATTTGTGAATCCCCCATTTTTTTAACGACTCCAGGGCCACCCCCTTGATATACTTGGGGCCCAAAGTTTGTGCCTAGCGCCCGCTACTTCACGAGACCTCAGAAGGGCCGGTTGTGTTGGGAGCCAGACAGCTGTGCCCGTGCTGCCGTGGAAAATCTACCGCTGGTGTACTGGGGTGCACCATACCACCGCATGGTTCCCGTGCTCCTTTAGCTGAAGACCTTGAAGCATGGGGTTTTAACACCGCCAATTCCCCGTGGCCCAAAAGCTTCTGAATTTACAACAAATTACGTTAAATAGCTCGGCTTCATTAGAAAGCAAAAAAAATCCTTAAGACACCTAGCAGCAATTTGAAATAATTTGTAAAGATATTTTTTTTTAAACTTCCGCTTCACTACACCGCACTGGAGTGAAGATGTTAATGGGGGGTTTTTTTTTCTCCTTGCCAGAAGATTGGTCCTGTGATTCAATACTGGACTTCCATTGGTTCGCGCCCCGGCCAAAAATCCTGATTATGCCACTCGCGTACCGATTCAAGACGCTCCGAAAGTGCGGCCCCAAAAACGGTCACCCCTGAAACCGCCGCGTCTCACGCCGCCGACCGACCTCGACGCGGGGGGGGGGGGGGGGGCGAGGGGGCGAGGGGGCGCCCTGGCGTTCCCACACACAAGCCCTCGCGCCGGGGGCCTGCCCGGACCTGCCTGCCGCCAGCGTCTGCGGCCGCGTGACGGGGGAGGAACGCTCAGGGATGACGAGCTCGACGGCCGCGTCGAGGGGGACTGCCAGCGTGCCCCCCCCCCCCCAACCCTCACCGCACCGCCAGTCACGCCGTCAGCATCCGCGTCACCGGCTTTCACAAGTCATCTCTGTTGAGTTCCCCTGGCCCCTTTGATTGCCAGTGGCACAAAGGGCTGCGTGGGCGCGTGCAAGCGCTCGCGCAAACAAAAATTCTCGCAAAGAGCTCCGTCCAAAAACATTTCTACGAGCGAGCCAAGTGGTGGCCCGCCGCCAGTGGGTGTGGCGTCAGCGTGGGCGACGGACGGCACTTTAAGAAGCAATTACGGAGGATCTTCAGATTAAGCCGCTTAAAATCGAGTACGAGATAAAGAAATATGAATGAGCCTTTGGGCGCGCGTGTACAGTAGTGTGTCAAGAGCACCTCTGCGGCGACACGGGGGACGAGTGTGTGCGCGTGCGTTTCAAATGATCCTTTGACAGCGGTTTTACAAGCAAGGTGGCCCCACTTTTGTAGTTGGAATAATGGTGCTTTACCGCTGCTGATCCATCTGGCCCACAGCGGGAGGGGAGAGGCACACAATGGCCAACTATTGTGAAGTGGGCATTGGGATCTTTGATGGGCGGCGGCGTTGCCAACGAGGTGACCCGCGGCAAAACTGGGAGAGAGGGCTTCAAAACAAGGAGCGGAGACGGAACAAAATATCCCCGACACAGGCACAACCTCGTCATCAGGCTGGACGCAATTGTTTCATGGGCCGGCCCGCGAACGCTCCCCTCTTCTAGGCCAGAGGGCATCGTGAAGCTCATTAAATACCCGCCGAAAGAAATCGAGCTCCCTTTCCCCTGTCGCACGAGAGCACGATTGTGCACGCAGCACACCAAAAAAAGTCATTCCAAGGGCTCTCGAAAGCACGTCCCGTGGACAAGTCTTCCTTGGGCTGCTCTCTCGAAAATAAAATAAAAACCACACAGGGGGTGAGACGGCAATGCTTGGCTGCAAGAGTTTCCCGTACGAACATTCTTTCATCTCGTCACATCGTGCCGGCTAACGTGATTGAAATCAAATTGGGGAAACAGAAAAAAAAAGGCTTACCAAAAAAAAAAAGGAGCTGCGTCGAATTTCTTTTTTTTTGGCGCAGGGGTCCTACCACACTACGGCTTGGATAGCTGCCCGAGGACCCCTTTAAGAGTGCCTGAAAGACTGTAGCTGCAGCGTGGGTATGGCAAGCGCCGGTTGGGGGAGGGGGCAGTAGATTTGCCCGCCTGTGGATTACGTAGGTGCCAACATTTAATGCAGAACAAAAAAATAATAATAAATAGACTGCCTCCAGAATACTTCACGCAAATGGGTCAAGGGTGATGGCAATGGGTTAGTCTGCCAGGGGCTAACGACATGAGCCGGACTGCGAAGTGGCCTAGAGATTGGTGGTACAGCAAACGGGTTCCCAAGCAATATGTAAGAATTTTGTAATTATTCCGTTTGTACACTTGGATTTTCTCCAGGTACTTGGCAAAAATGGAATATGGAAGCCCACGTCAAATTGTAGGATCCTCCTGAATAAAAAATTCCCATTACATTTGAAGGCAGAATGGTCCGTGGGGGCAATATGGCAAGTGTATGGGTCTCTATGCATGCCTCGGCTTCTCGATGCAAGTCTATGGGTCATATCAGTGTGCACGAGCCTGTGTGTGTGTGTCTATATTCAAAGTCTATAGCCATCTATGTAAGCACGGTGGACGTGACTCAAGAAGTGACACAAAATAGAAGAGAATGTATGTATGCCGAACTTCTTTCGCACCATACGTGCAAAATATCCCCCGTATACCCCTAACGGACCTTTGGGGCAAGTACCGTTCGGGAGCACCCATAAAGGCCAACACGGCACACGAGGAAGTGGGCAGCCAGCACCACGCGTGGCACACAGTAAACAACAACAACCGCCATTCGCCACTAAGTGGCGGTGACGTCACCACAGCGCTTGTGCCAGGCAGTGTGCACTTTTAAGGCCACGCGTGAAGTGTCAAACGCCCGCTGGGAGGAGGTCACGGGACAGGCTCAGGTGTCATGGCTTTACTGACCGAGACAAAGACAAAGATCCCCTGTATAGCCTTTTAACAGACCGTTGGGACAAGTGCTGTTGGCAAGCACCTATGAAGGCCGGCACGGCACGTGAAGGGGTGGGGGACCAACACCACGCCGGGCCGCTTTCGTCTCCCTAGTGGCGATGTTTACACCTGCACCAGGTACTCATTTGAGGCCGCGTCGACCTAGGAGAGGCCCAGGACCGGTTCAGATAATCGTCACCGGTGTTGGCCCGTGAACAGAAGCCGAAACTCGGGTCGCCGAGTTCGTGGCGCTAACCGCTGCACCACCGCTCCCCCTCACCGACCGAGATGACGCGCAAAGACACGCACGCGCGGACGGCATCCCCTAAGCTCACCTGACCCTGCATCAGCAAAATCAAAACACAAAACCACCCCAGAGCAAAAACAATTCTCACCTTTACATCAAACAAAGGGGATACATGACTAGAGCGAGAAAACCAGAACAGCTGACCCCCACGCTGCGGGGGGGGGGGTGGTGGTGGGGTGGGGTGGGGGGGGCAGAGGGGGGAGGGAGCTCACCCTCGACGACGCGCAGCAGGCAGCCCTCGCCCAGCCCCTCGACGGCGCGCAGCTCCGAGTAGGCGTCGAGCGCGGCGCCATCCAGCTGCAGCGAGAAGCACGTGCGGTGGCAACTCTCCTCGCGGTCCATCAGAACCTGCTGGATGTCCTGCACCAGCTCCTGCGACGACACCTGGCGTGGACCCACGTGCGCACGTCGGCGGGCGCGTCCCATTAGCGCGGGTCGGCGACGGACGGTGCGCGGACGTTGTCCGTACGGCGTAGTGAGAGTGATGATGATGATGACGCTGCTGCTGCTAACACTGGCGGCAGAAGGGAAGCGGCTCGACAACGGAGTCTTTGCTCGAATGGGGGGGGGGGAAGACTTTGAAAAGGGACTTGGGCAGCAATGCGCGGCGACGTATTTCTTTCAAAGGTCGGAGGTCGGCGGTCACTGCGTAGTTTCTTATACTATTCGTGCGCATGACGCCGGCAATATGTTCACGAGCCGCCAAATGTCAAGGGCCCGTTAGCCACGACGAGAGGGGCTTCCCCTCGGGAGAGAGAAGGCGTGTAGTTTTGCTGCTCTTCCTGCACTGAAGGAGCACAGACCACGGTGGTTTACCACATGGTCCATCGTGTTGGTTGCATGGACGCAATGCCACCGTGGATCGTCTTTAATTTTACATTCATTTAGGAGATGTGCGCACGGGCCTGTTTATGATGTGATGCAGTTGATGGTTAACACCACCGGTGTCTTCGAGGAATGTTAAAGACAGGAGAGAGGGTGCGATGTTTGGGTCTCTAATGAGGTGTTAATTCGGGACTTTCCGCATTGTTGGCCGAGATATTTGGTGGCTGACAATCAAACTGGGGCAAGGCGTATGTGCAGTGATGTTCTGGAACGTCCCTGGTTGATGTTGGAACACTTTGATGAATTTAATAGAAAAAAAAAGAGGTCACGTTAACAAGTCAAAGCCAATATCACTACTGCCTCCACACCAAATCATCAAAATGTCCTTCCTTCCTCCAAATTCCACGAGGTTTTGCGATATTGATATGCAACTTCATACATCTGCTCGTCGCATCTCACGATCTGGATGTAACGACTGCCATTTGATCCTTCACCCCTGGGTGTCCACGCCAACACGGTATAACCCCGTAAGCAAATGTAAATTTGGTATTAGAAAGCAATTAAGGCTTATTTTCAGTGATACCCTGCCCATAGCGAGAAAGCGTTTTTATTTCAGAATTATAGCAATCAGTGCGCGTACTTTATTAAATTGCCTACGAAACGTGGTGACCACGAAACCGACACGCAACGGCCTAAGCTTGTGAACGACGCCCAAAGCGGCTTCAATGGAGCACCCGGCAATTGCTTGCCGACCCCGCCCCATACCGGATTTCTGTGAAACAGAGCTTCATCCGCTCGTCGATTCATCCTCCAGGTCGCCAAATGAAGATGCTCTCACTCATTCCCATTGCGCTTTGCTGGAGCATTCAAACGGAGCCTCTTCATCAGGACGCAGGGGACATCCGACGATGACCACAACTCGCATGTACTCACCGTCAACAAACATTAATTTAAATTCGAAATATATGCCAACTCGTGAAATGTTCGTCCCCTTTGTTTTTTCGTTACCGCTTTTCATAACAGCTGTTGCAAAATGTCGACTGTCGGTAAATTGGACGATCGTTACATTTTTGGTAAGCCTGCTTTGGGTCATCTAAAATTCTAGTTGAGAACAGATCGTTTTTGATTGCGAGCATTCCAAGGACAATTGAAGAGGAGACTCCAATAGGCTACAAGGCATCCACACAAAGGGGTAGTGAAACTCTGAGCAATCGTTGAACGTACACACAGGTTAACGCGCATAAAGAAAGCATTTCATATCTCACACACACACTTGCCTATGACCAATTCACCCGGGATATACCCGATCTTGTCAGATCTCAGAAGCCAAGCAGGGTCGAGTCTGGTTAAGTGCTTTGACGGGTGACCACCAATGCCAAACAGGTAGTCGTAGGACTGCAGGGGCCTACGTCGCAGGAGGAAACAGAGGGAAGCGACATCCATTGTTGTACTGTACTTCTATACTCCCGTGTAACCCCTCCAAGCCTTCACCAGCCCACACTGAACAGAGTGGTGAAGTGAGGCAAGACAACCCCCAGGACCCAGATATAATTGGGAGGCCCTATATCCAGCAGTGGATGCCCCAAAAGTACCTGCACATGGATATTGTGTTAATGTATTTACAGCACGGCGTTGCATGTAAGAGGCGTGTAAATGTAATTTAGCCAGGTGTCACATTGGCAGGTGAGGGCCTCCTAAAATACCCGAGTACACAGGAAACCACCCACACACGCACGCAAGAGTGAGAAAATTAACCCGTTAAATGTTGTGCCGGATTACCCAGGACAACCTTTGAAATAAAAACACTTTTCATAACGGAACTATCGCTGGGTTTCCGTTAACAAGTAGGAGATATATATATAAAAAGCAAATTATATGAATAAAAGATTCACCTGCGAGTGTAGGGTACATTTTTCTGAAGCATGCAAACATTAGTTTCAGTCCCATTATCTTAGCAATTATTTTTACTAAAAATTTCGTCACCTATGGGGAACACAGCGGCGCAGTGGGAAAACCCGGCAAAAATTGTGGTGCATCCGTTGACAAGCGTGAGGTGCGTTCACAAAGACGCCAGAAAAACGTGGTGGCAAGAACGGCGGCGACCAACGACGACTGAATTTTTATTCAGCTGCCGAGTGCGAAGATGATGACGACGCCGACGACGCCGGTGCTCGTCGCCGTAGCGGACATCTTACCTGCAGCTCGAAGGGCTCCGATCCGGGCACGTGGATCTTGAGGGTGAAGACGCACTCCGGAGCCGGGTCGTCAGGCTGGGCCGCGCTGGCGCCCGCGTCCAGGGCACCACCCCCCACGCCGCCGGGAGCCGGCGCCCCCCCATTCGCGAGCGCCTCGTCCTCTCCGTGAGCTGCACAAGAGTGGAGCAACGACAGCATGGCTCGGCCTCGCTTCGTACCGTTTCAAAAGAACAATCTTAAAACTCTTCTCTCGAGTTTGGTGTTCAACATCCAAACGATTTCGCGCGACTGCGACTCGAGATGTTCCCTTCTGCGCCGTTCCCTGCCGATCTTCTTATCGCCCGCCCGCCTAACACTCGGCACGCGACGCACGAGCTGCCGCAAAGCGATGCCTTATCCCAGCCCCTTTGAAGGTGGGACTTTCCGAGCCGATCCCAAGTTGCGAAAGCCCTCGCTTTTTTCCCCCCACTTCCCGTCCCTCTCTCTCGGACACTCGGTTGTTGCAAGTCGCCACACAAAAGTGTAGCCCCCTTCGTGGAACGCTTCCCAGGCTAGCGAGATAAATTCTGCGCCGACGTCTCGGTGAATCCGAGCCCTATCCTGCGAGCTGGGCGGGTAAAAGGCGGAGAAGATGAGGAGGAAAAAAATAAAGAGAACGGAGAACCGTGCCAAGCCGAGGTCGCTTTGGCGACAGTTTTTCAGGTCTGGCTCAAACGTAAATGAACAAGAGTTATTAAAATAATTGGGAGGTGGTTTGCAACAAGCCGCTGAGAATGTCGGAGGGAAATCGGCCACACAGTAGAGCGAAATGGGCACGGGGCGAGTCGATTATAAAACGCGTTGGGGTGACTCCCTGCAGCGCTCATCACGCCTTACCTGCGGTGTCCATTTAATCTGCAAAATGAGGGCAGACTGCGTTCCCCTCGTGCGTGCCCGCAGCCTCTCCCCAAAATGCGTTTATTAAAAAAAAATGTTTTACCGCTAATCTTCTGGCGGAGCTGCAACGGTCAAACTTAAACGCTGCTCCGGCCCAACAGCTGCCGATCCCTTCAGGCCGACTGAGAGTATGAAAATGCGATGGACGAATAAAAAAAAAAAACGACGCGAGACCGGCCGGCGTCGGTAAGTTTGGACCAGCGCGCGCCGTTCTAACTGAAAGCCATTGCAAACGAGGCGGCAGATGCAAATGAAGACGACGCCTATTGCGCGAGTGGAACCTCCGGTCGAGCGACTTTCACCGTCTGAAATGCACTCCAACCTGTGCTGCACACACACACACAGCGGCTTTTATTTTTTTATTTAGATACACGTATATGCGTCCCTCTCCCCGCCTCCTTATTCCACCCACAATCCCCAACTTTCTCCTGCCACCACAAAAAAAAACCACCCCACCGATACAGCTTGCGCGAGATCAGATCAGCCTCTCCCCGACCCCTCTCCTTCACGTTTTAACTGAAATTAAACGATTCTCTTTGAGCTTGGGTATTTATAAACGATGGTCGATTGTGTTTTGCACGCAAACCTCCTCAAGCAGCCCCGTCGATGATCAACAACACGAGGCTTAAACTTATTTTCTGTCATCGCCGCGTCGGGCAGCGTCAACTCATTTTGGCCTGCGTTATTTGCGACCTAAAAAACGCACAACCTCGGCAGCCTATACTTAAAAGAGCATTTGCGCATCAACGGGATAAATCGCCGCACGACAGCTGCTATTACACGCAACATTTTGCGGTGTGACCCAGCTCAGTGGGGGACTGTTATCGCCACTGCAGTGGCACCCTCGTGCCAGGTTTACAAGTTGAAATCATCTTAAAAATTGAACTTCTCGTAAAACGACGGCAACGACACAACGACGGGACCGAGAAGTTAAATGTCATTCGTGGCGAGGAGCTGGCCAGACGACGCGGAAAAGAAATAAGAAGTCGAGCAGCTTCTAAAAGAGCTCGATGCGCTTCTTACCACTGCATGTCATGTCATATGTGATGTGCGTTTAGGAGAGCAGCTGTCAAGGCTTGCCATGGCACATGAGGTCATGGTGTGGGAGCCCCCAAACCATTGCGTCTCGAATTAAAATGTGAACAGACTCGGATTACACATTGCCTAATTGCAACATTTGTATTTTTACCTTCATTACATTAGATTTCCCTCCACCTTGTCAAATAGCCTTGATGAGCAGTTACGTGGAGACGCTTAATAATAATAATAAGCGTAAACAGTTTATCATTGGCGAGTTTCATTTAGGTGACCAACGGACTTGAAAAATCGACCCGTTGGTTGTGGCTTGGCATCAAATCGTGGCACCTTCACCCACCGTGCAGCCACCAAACGTATCGTACAAAAACAAAAATATCCCCTTCCTTTATAGCCTTAACGGACTGTTGGGGCAAGTGCTGTTAGCGTGCACCTATAACGGCCGATACGGCACACGTGGAAGTGGGTGGCAAGGACCACTCCCGGCCGCCTTAGTCTCCCTAGTGGACTGGTTCAGATAATCGTCACCGATTATGGCTGCGAGCGGAAATCGAACCTCGGGTTCTCAGCGCAAGCGCGCTAACCGCTACACCACCGCTCCCCCCCCCTCCCCACTCCCAACTAAGGATTGACGCCCGCACACACTCGTCACCGCCGAAATGCAAGTCAGGCGCGGCTGAAGGTGATGCGTTATCGTCCCGCCGCTTGGCGGTCACCGAGAGGGGGGGTCGCGGTGCGGGGGAGGGACTGCGAGGGGAGGGCGTGGATGCGCTGCCGGGCGAGTCGGGATACGCACGTGCGCAGCGGCAGTTGCACCGTTTCGCCCCGGGGAACAATTTTTTTTTTAAAGTTTGTAAAAAAAAAAATGTGCAGTTGGAATTCTCCTTTCTCGTTTCGTTAAACGCGTTGCTCAAGCCGAAAGCAGCGTGCGCGCGATGAAGGCCGCAGGCATTCCCCCTTTACGCAAAGCGGCTTTCTGAACATTCTCCTCGTGCTCCCGCGTCGCCTTGCAGAAGCGGCAAGTCCGCACACGACAATGGCTCTCCTCCACGACTTGCAGCTCGCGGACACAGCACAAACCCCCCCCCCCCCTTCAGCATTCATCAGCAGCACAATACGTCGAGTGTGAAACTTGATTACCGATGGAGGTAGCCGTTGCCTCCTCGTTCCTGGGCTCTCTCTGGCCCAGCAACAGGGCCCACCACTCCATAAGCCACGAAGCTCTGTGGGCTGGCCCACCGCCACCGCACCCACCCCCCACAATTTCAATCCGCAAGCTGTATTTAAAAAAAAAACACCCCATTTTCCATTGGCAACACTAGAGCCGTGCCATCTTGTTGGCGGCCCCTCGCGCGTTAAGAGCGCCAAACCGAACTAAAAACCAAACCATGATTCAGAGCCAAACAGAGCGAGGGGCACATGGTTAATAATCATAATCATCACCATCCATTGGCACGTGCGACTCCGGCGTCGCACCTTCCATTGCGCGCGACGTCAAATCGGCGGCTTGTATTTGGCGCGTCCCCGAGTCACACGAGGCTGGCTCAGCACGGCCCCGGCACAGCACAGTTGTGCAGTGGAAAATAGTTATTAGCGCAGGTCAATGAGCCTGGCTAGGGGGGAGGGCCTTGGTGCCAACCACCGTGGGGGTTTAACCTGCTATGGTTGGCAATGGGGAACGTGGGGGGGCTTCTCTTGGGCCTAACCCACCAAGCCAACCCCCGATTCCCACCGGGCTGTGATAAAGGGGCCTTGGGGATTCCCGTGGGGAGCGTCACGGACATTTGAACACCGAGATGGCAAAAAGCAGGGCCTAGCATCGAGCCTGGGGTGGGTATCAAAATGTCGAACGGTTTCACATTTAAAACGAGTTCCACCATGGTCACCAATCCAGTCACTAGTTGAGCAGATTACACTCACATGCGAAATAGCCCAGCTGCAAATACCTTGCGTAATAAAGTATGCCGAGCTAAAGTGAGCGATTAATCTACGCAGCTGAACAAAAGGCTGTGATTATTGCAACGGTAACAGCACAAAGTTACTGCCCAAAGAAACAGCACAGGGATTGCTTTTGGTAATACAATCTGCACAACTGGCAAGAGAATGCTCTTATATAAAAGCGCACAACTTTATCTATCTGAGATGAACGCTGCACTTTCCGTCGTATTCATGCAGGGGGCGCTGCAAACCTATACGCGCCCCCTGCATGAACGACGGAGGCGCAGGGACAGACGTTCGATCACGTTGGAATCGATCTGCAGACGGCGGTCTTCTCGCACGGCCAGCAGCTCCGTGTCGCCTTATCTCGATCCCGCAATCCCAACCAGGTGAAAGTCCGCATCGAACCGAACCCCCAGCAAGGCCATCTACTTAACGACGAGAGAATATTCACACGAAATGTCCTTTTCAATGAAGATGTAAAATGATATAAGCTTTTAATAAAGAAATAAAATGATCTAATTAAAAACATAATACAATTCAAAGATGTTTCATTTTAAAACTTCAAAACGCAGCATCGGGTGCTTGTGTGAATGCGTCGTTCGTGCGCAATTTTTTTCGTGATTTTCCTGGCCGAAGGCCGTAGATGTGGCGCCCCCGAACAATCCCGAGTAACCAAATGAAGCGTCATTAAAAAAACGATGCCAAGTGCGAGACACGGTCCCTTGCAGACACTGAGAAACTGAGACACGGTCCCTTGCAGACCTGAGACACTGAGAAACTGAGACACGGTCCCTTGCAGACCTGAGACACTGACAGTGTCTCTTACAGGCCAGACAATGGAGAAAAAAAACATCCCTGTATGTGTAATCATTACACGTCCTCTATTATACGGAGTCGCCGCTTTAAGAAAAAAACAAGCACAGGTGCGGTCTTGAACGCACGATAAGAATGACGTCGGGGTGCTCCAGACTCCCCCCCCCCCCCCCCAACGAGATCAATTTTGCCGGCTTTCATCAGCCCTGCGACCTTCATCATCAGCGGCGGAGGCAACATGCTGCAGCAGCGCACCGGCTCATCTGCACTCCGTTGCCATTCGTAGTGGTCGCGTACGGCGAGAGGCGTGTGCAACCACGGTCGTAACGCAGACTGTGATATCGAATCACGGCTGTAATAATATTTAATACGGAAAAATGGAGTGCGGTACCTCAAAAACACGGCGGAAATATAGGGTAGAGACTCCAAAATCGGAATGATCACGTACAAGCGTGCTTACCATCAGACCCCCGAGAGCCAACGGCATCAAAGGTGCCATATTTTGAACAAAACCAGCGTCGGACCGAATGGACTTTGACGATATGGCGACCAACATGAACGGATAAATTAAATCGCAGTCTTTTTCGCGAAGTGGAACTCATTTTAGCGAAATCGGGTTTAAGGCAACTCCGAGCCAAAAAATGTGCGCACTCGCCGCCTCAATTACGACTCCAACGGCAGCGAAACAAAGATAAAGATCCTCCCTACAGCCTTAACAGACTGTCGGGGCAAGTGCGGTTCTCGCCAGCACCGATTAAGGCCCACACACGGGCACATGGAGGGGTGGGTGCCGGGCATCACGCCCGACCGCCTTCGTCTCCCCAAGTGGCGATGTTCACACGACGCCGCACCAGGTACTCCGTGTGAAGGCCGAGGTCGACCTCGGGAAGGCCCAGGGACCGGTTCAGATCATTCGTCACCGGTGTTGGCCGTGAGCGGGACCCGAACCTCGGGCTCGCCGGGTTCGTGGCGCAGCGCCGCCGGGCAACTTTGCTACCGCCGCTTCCCCCCAACTACAGCAACAACGCAGCCACTACGCGCGCAGCTCCATGTCAAGCAGGAGTGTAAGAAGCAAAAAAATACAAGGGGATGAGTAAGGATTTCGGAGTCGCCTTTAACAATAGTCGAAAACACGCTTCGAAGAGCATCAAGCCGCGCATCCAGAAAAGAGTCACCGAGGTGGCGCCTGCTTTCTCGGCGATGTTTCAATGCACCAGGCAGTCCGGCGGGTGTGAAATAATAAACGGTCGGGGATATCGGCCCGAAGGCCGATGACGTCCACGAGCGAAGGAGGCCGTAACGACCGTTCTTGTCCCCGTCTATTTCGGGCGCACAATTGCCCAGCGCTTTGCAAAATATAACCGCGGTCACCTTTTTGTATTTTGTGTTTTTTTTAAGGTCGCGATGGACGTCGACCGCACCGACCAATACCGACGACTTCATTCATTGCGAGCGAATTTTCAATTTCGCGACAATACGCCATACCCAACGGACATGATGAGCGGATCGGGGATGGCGGTCATTCTGAAAAGGAGCGTGGAGAGATGGAAGCTGGGAAGAGCCCTTCGAAAAAAAGTGACGCAAAGGAACTTGTGTGGGATACGAAACGAACCAAACCGTAGCCCCACACCCCCCACCACCACCACGAGCGTCGATAAGAGAAAAACTAAGTACATTGGCTTGTTACACAGAGCCGCAGGCAGCTGAGACAGTTCTAAGAGTGTTCAATAACACGGGAGGGAGAAATACTGGAAAGACAACAACATATTAGTGTGTATGCAAATGAGATTACAAGTTTAATTCTAACAGTACTCAAAAACAGGCATACATAGATCCATCCCTACATGCATCCCTTGAAAAAACAAACGTACATTTTTAAAGTACCTTCACCATCGCACCCAAGCATGGACACGCAACTTCCTTGACTCAAGCATCAAGAATGGCCCACTCACGACACATCTCCGTGACTACACGCTTAGCGGGCATCACTCTGGATGGAGCTTTGCGCAAAACACACCCACCACCCCCTCCCGTACCTTTCCTGTAAGAGGCTGCCCGCCTTCTCTTCCGCTTCCTCTTGGCCTTGCCCCCTGCAGGTGGCAGCAGAGATGGCTGCGCCGCGTCCGAGCGGGCGGGAGAGCGGCGGCGGCCGTCCCGAGCCGCCGCCGCCGCCGCCGCCCCCACCGAGGCGTCCGCCAACGAGGGCGCCGAAGAAACGCGCCGCCACCCGTCGCGCTGCGACCCGACCAGGCCCGGCAAAGCGTCCCCGCCCGCCACCGACGCCGCCGCGGTCGCCGCGTGGCCCCCAAGGACCGGGCCTCCCGCGAAGCCACCCGTCTTCTTCGCCAGCGGCGTGGCGAGGCGAGGCACGCGCGCGTCGTCGCGCTGGCACCTTGCCGTGGGACACTGCTGCTGCACGCTGGGGCAGACCTGCCAGTGGCCGCAGCGAGCCGGGTCCAAGTCCTCGGCGGCGGCGGCGGCGTCGTCGCCCAGGACGTCGTCGTCGTCGTCGTCGTCGCCCTCGAACGGCGCCCTCCCCTCCAACGAGTCGCCGCCGCCCTTGTAGGATCTGCGCCGGCAATCGTCGTCGGCAGAGCACGGTTCGAAGCCCCCCTGCGCGGCGTCACAAAAGACGGCGGAGCCGTCGCGCGAGTACGCCGTCGCCGGGTCCGACCGAGGCGCGGCGCTCGACGCCCGCGCGAACGCGGCGCCCTCGCAACAGTGGCTCTGGCCGCCGCACGAGTCGGGCGGCCGCCCCTCGTAGCAGCTTCCTCCCCCGTCCTGATCTTTGTTGATGCAGCCGAAGCCGCCGTGGCAATGCTGATTCATCTGACAGCATGCTGGGTCAAAGAAGCCACAGGACTGCATGTCGGCGGCGTTCACGGCGGATTTTTGAGGACGGCTCATGTTCTGATCTCCGAGAAAACCCGGGTCTCCCGTGGCGCAGTAACCCGTGGGACTTAGGAATGCCTCGTACTTTTTCACGGGGGGATTCTCAAATGCTCGCCTCCACTCCTGCATCGCCTGGTAGCTGTTCTGCGCGAAGGGATTGTGCTCCACCGCGCGATGCGACGCGTTCCGAAACTCCATCCTGCAGTGCAGCGCCTGCGAGTGGTCCATGCCGTGCGGCTGCGAAAACTCCGGTGCCGAGGCCGCCATGCCGTACGAGCACGGCTGCGTGCCGTCCCCGGAGCAGTGCGGGGGGGGCGGCAGCAGCTCCGCGCCGCCGCAGAAGGGGTTTGCGGCGCCGTACACGTGGGACGTTCGGCCCAGAGACATCTGGCGCTCCGCGGGAGGCCTGCGCGAGTGGAAGAACGTCTCTTCGTAGTCGTCAAAGCAACTTTCTTCGTGCGCCAAGATCCGGTCGGGTTCCTGGTGGCGGAGTGACGAGTCGCCCACGAACGGATTCGTGTCCCTCAGAAAAACGCCGCCGCCGCCGCCGCCGCCGCCGCTCCTCCTCGACGCGGCGCTCCGCACCACGTCCGGCATGCGCCCCAGCGGCCCTCCCGCAGCCTGCTCCCCACTCGCGGGCCGAACGCAGTCGGCCGTCCCCACCGTGAAGGACACGCGGGCGGCCGGGCCGCACGCGTAGCCGCCGCCGCCGCGCGCAAGGACGCCGGCTCCCGCCCCGTCGCCGCCGCAGACGCCGCACTCCCACGGCCCAGCGGCGACGGCGGCGGCGCACGCGGAGTCCTCCCGGCAGCAGCCGCCCCCAACCACAAAGCCTCGCAGGTCCGAGGAGCCGTGCAGCGCGTACTCCGGAGGGAAGTCGCCCAGCACGCCGCGCTTCAGCCGACGCCCGCCGTGAAACGCGGGGCCCTCGACGACGCACCCGCCGTTCGTGACGTCGCCGCCGTAGCCGGAGTTGAGGATCCCCCCGGGGGACTCGCGGAAAACGGTGGCGTGCTCCGGCGAGCCGTAGCGAGGGGACGCTGGCGCCGGGGACCCGTTGGACAAGAGGGACACGGCCTCTTGGTCCGGCCGTCGCGAGGACGACCAGCGCACGCAGCAGGAGAGCACGTTGCCCATTGTGGCCCGGCGCGCGTTTGCAACTTCGACCCAGCCCCCCCAGTCAGGTGGCTCGACCGCGGCGTTTGAGGACTTTGAGTTTGAAAGCAACACGCTCGGAGGCTCCACCCAAGGGGGTCGCGACCGCGAGACCAGAAACACTATTCCTATTTCATAGACACCGATGAACCGCCATCGCTCTGGACTTGATCACTCTCAATTAGGAAAGGTCGGATCGTGATCACCTTTCACAAAACCATTAAATCAATATCCAGAAGCTGCACTTGTAAAACACAAGTAAATTGGACGTTGCATTTTTTTGCAAAATTTTAAAAAAAACGCTCCTATCAGAGGTACCGACTTTCCTGTGTGTTCATTAGACTTTTTTTTTTACAAACTATACAAACCAATATGATTTAGTACAGCTAAGTATTTAGTAGAGTTTTAATAAAATACCGCACGTGGTAAATCATAGAAGATATAGCCATAACCAGCAAATGGTTTACAACTGAAAAACTCACAGAATCAAAGGCTGATCGCTTGCAAACAAAGCAAGGCTGAGCCAGATTTACAGAAAGCGTCGATTCCTTTCATAACGACCAATCTGCATAGCAGCACAGTCAGCGGTTCTCCTGCTACCGACTGCGCTTCATTTGCAGATTGTCTAACTTGACATATTATTACATTTTACGTGCTAATTTTAGGAATTAGATTAAAACGGTTAATCGGACAATTTGAGCGACTACACACATATATATGCTCGGATTTCACAATCGTCATGTGACGGATTACAAAAAAACCCACGTGAAAGCACTTGCATTAAGAAAAAAATCAAAAGAACAATAATGATCGAGACTGTGCCTTAACAGGGCACCGATGCAGCCACTTATCTGCGCTTGCCGTTGTCCGCCAAACTGCTGCAGCACCGAGCGATAGTGGGCACGGGGGGGGGGGATGAGAACGAGGCCGCTGGCTGCGTTTAAAAGCAGTCGAGCGAAACAATGCTAAATTCAGGCTTTGGTCACGCTCCCGCAGCCGCTGCGTTTCATCCTCTCCCGAGAACGCAGACAGGAGGTCCGACGCCGCCGCCGCTGCCGCCGCTGCCGCTGCTGCCGCTCCTGCTCCTGCAGTGTCCGGCCCGTCACAGGGAACGGCGTGGAGAACCACGCGGAGTGGATGGTGGTGGTGGGGGGGGGTGTTTGTTGGCACGAGCCTTAACCTCGCACGTCCCGCAGGCCGCCGCGAGCCCGCTGGGACACCAGCGCCACCGGCAGACGGTCAAACTTCATGGCGGTCGCGCGCAATTTTGTATTCCTGGCTCCGCGCTTGCCGATTATCCACAGCGGCGACGACGGCGGCGGCGATGGCGGCGGCGGCGGCCACGCAGAGGAGCCGTCCTTCACACAACCTTCACCGGGCACCCGCGCGTCTCCTCCCAAATCCGTGACCTCCACGGGGGGCCTTGAGGACGCAACCGCGTCCAGCACCGAGTTGCCCGCTTGCACCGAAATAATCCACAGAGACGTGTGCGTGTAAGTCCTCCTCCTCTCGGTTATTTCGTTCCGCTTATTTTACTTCGTGCATTCGTATGCACGTGTTAACTTAAGGGACAAAGCCGAACGGAGGGGAGAGGAGAGAGGGGAAAAAAAAAAAAGGACCTGCGGTAGAATTTTTGTAGCGAATCCCCGCTAAGGCACTGCACAGGGTGAACATCGCGGATGCGCACAATTTGATTGAGCTTGCGCGCTTCTCCAGCGATTACATCATTCACATCCGCCTCCCAAAGCGAACCCACAAACCCCAAAGCGGAAAACAAAAATCCACACGTGAATGATACATGCAATTATCTAATACAACGCTAATTGGTTACTGGAGGCTAACCAAGCCCCGTCGACTAAACAGGCCGGAGAGCATCCATCCCCTGGTACGCGGAGAGCGAGTGGCGTATGTTTAGCGGTCGCAACACTCGCTCGCGTACGGACGCCTGCACGCGAGTGCGAGGGGACAAAAACGCGTGCGCGCACACACGCGCTCACACACACACACACGCGCTCACACACGCACACACACAGACCGCCTAAATATAGCGAGCTAGAGGAACATGCTTCGCATACACATGAGGCCGGCTGGCGTGCTGCAATAAAGTGTGAACGAAAACGCAAGCCCCGTGTCGCAGCGGACGGCACGCGCGCTCGCAAGTGCGGGCGCGCTGCAGGGCACGTGTGCCCAAAGGTTTTTGCCGCCTTCAAGGCTGCGAACTCGACGCCGTGCCGCCGACGCTCGGCCACGCGATGACGACGCACACAACGATAAACGCGCGCTACTACAAAGGATGTGCATGCACAATGTCTGTTGTGAAACCACGACCGCCAGCCTCTAGCTGCCGCCGGGTCAGAGCCCGAGTAGGGAGTTGGCTCGCAGCTCGTACGAGAAACGGCAAAGGGTGCTCTTCTCTGCCGGTGGCCATGAGCCGTTGGTGGAAATTCCACATTCCCATGGCGAGGATCTTTCTCTGTACAGGACGACCAGCACGTATGTTGAATTTCCTTCGCACCGTACGTAGCGAAACATGCTAATCCGAGGTGCGGGGAGGGGGAGGGGGGGGACAATAAACTAAACACAAGAAGCCGTTCTAAAGAAACGAGCTTTTCAAAAGTGCATGGCTCCAGTGGCATCCTAACATCAGAAGGAAGAAGCGTTCCAGATGGCTGCAGTTGCCTCTATTGACGTGGCATGCAATATAGCTAAGTGGGCTTTACACGGTAAATAAATAGGAAATAAAAATCTTTAAGTATGTAGCAATTTTGCTTCCCTTCCCTATACTTTACACTCCTATCGTGTTTTTGTACTGTTTGTTGTTGCAGCTTTCAGACACGCCCCGAATGGACATCTGTGAAAGAGCATTACAGCTCAATCGGATTGCTCCAAGTATGAATCAAAATTCGGATTCTCTATCATCGATACAATTCTTACACTCGTACGATGGATTTACCACATGTCAGATTTGTAGGTTTGTAGGCAATCAACCGGGCTGCACGTGAACCCTGCAGCCACGTGGAGGTGCTACATTCGTCATGGTGTTAAATTGTACCTGCGGAGCTGGGATTTTGACAATCAATCAAATTGCAATGGGGGGTGGGGGGGGGTGAAATAATCGTTACACGTGTATACAGGCACTCCTTGACGTACACGATAGATGCGTTCCTGGAAAAGTGCGCATCTCAAAGTTGCGTACGGCAAAAACAAATTTTCCCAGAAGATATAAAAGGGTTCGGGGATTTCGCTCGCACACTCGCAGACATAAATCGCCTATATTATCCTAGCGTACATCGCTACAATACACGTGCACTCAATATAATACGAAGAGCGCCGGTGCAACCACGGCAAGATGCTGTACAGAGTAACACGCGCTCGCTATCGTACCGCACATGCTGCTGGCAACCACACCGAGTCGTGCCAGGCCAGGGTGGCGTCGCGTCGCGGTCGACGTCATTCACGAAAATTGCCTCATGCGCGTCAATAAAAGTTCTAGGTACAAAGCGCGCGTTATTCCAAAATGGCGTACCGCAAAAGCTCGTAAACGGAGGGTTGCCTGTATGTGTGAGAACTCGCAAAGCGTCAATCACCGTCTCCACCGTGGACGGATAAATAAGTCGAGTCTACCCCCTAACCGAGATTCAAACTCGTGACTTTCCACGTGCGAGTCAAGCGCTCCTAACCAAGCTCGGTGGCCGCCTGGCTTGCTCGAGAGCTGCAATACGGGAGTTTGACAAGGAGGACGAATGACGTCACTCTCAGGCAATGTCCTGGACGATGGAATCGGGAGCTTCAAAGCCGAGGACCTTAAAACTCATCGCGCTCAAAACGACAGTGAATGAGAGTTTTCATTAACGCCGTGCCAGCCGCGGCAAAGATTCGCAATAACGCACGATGGGTCGACCGAAGGACATTCCCTCGGTGGGGTTGTGAGAAAAACACATTTCATTTATCAAATGGAGTTTTGGAGACATCAAATGCACGAAGGGGAAAGCAACGTTGTGAGATCTCGTGGTTCCACCTGTTTAACGTGTTGACCACCAGGCCCTTTAAAATATAAATATATATTCTATTCTGCCACCCCTTCCCCCAGTGGCCGAAAGCACATACTAGGGCAAAGCATGCAACTTGAATGGTCATTAGTGGGTGCGAGTGCGTTCCCCTCGAGACCCCGATTTTGAATGTCCATCGTTTGATGTTGCGGACATCGCTGGGTCCTGTATAGCCTCACACGGATCTGGATTTATTCAGGGGGAGGCAAGACAGTTGAGAAAAAAATGCGTGGCCTCAGTACAAAATGTAGGCTGAGGGTAGAGGGGGGGGGAGCGACCCCCCCCAAATCATTCTCTCGTCTTCATTGGCTATGCCGAGCCGTAACCAATGCCGCAATTTTTTTTTTTTATCGCCGTGTGCCCTGCATTTGGTACCGAACGCAGGAATTGGTTTAGCTATTTTCCCCTCGCCAAAGGACCGTGCCTGGGGGGGGGGGAGGAGGAGGGTCACGTTTTCCTTTGTTTGTCCTCTTTCCCTTCGGCCAAATCGCGTCGCGGCAACTCTGATTTTGAGCGGCATCACCGCCGAGCAGAACGTCCCGCGAAATGCGCTCGCTCCTTACGCACACGTCAAGCATTTAATGCAGCTTGGGGGGGGGGGGGGGGTGGGGGGGGCAAATATCACTGGATTCTCCGATTTAGCGATCGCTAACGTAGGGCAAGTGGTAAGGAGCAGCGAGAAAAATATTGTTTTGTTTTTTACAAACGTACATACCCGCAGAGGGCCATCGCAAGAGCCGTAAAAAAGCGAGGCCAGAAAGATGAGCGCCCCTCAAATCTAAAGCGGCAAACGACTCGCTGTTGGGAGTCCAACGGCCCCCCACGGGTAGATTCACACGACCCGCGGGCGGGCTCCGTATGGCAGGCGCCCCCGCTAATCAGGGCGCTAAAACAATGCAACGGCGGCGTGATGCTGTCCCCCGAGGTTACAACTGGGGTTTGCAGTCCGTTATCCCGTAACGCGGTAGTTGCCGTTCCTGAAGAACACCGCGTTATGGAAGAGGAAGGAAAAATCGCGTTGTGAATAAATAACACAGGGGTAAAGCACCACAGTCCGCGAAGACGCGCGGGATGCGTACGCAGGCTGAGCAAAGACTGAGGCGCGTGGGTAGCATCCGCAAGCATCCGCAAGCATCCAGCAGCATCCCGCCTTGCGCGACGCTAAGCCGAGGCAGTCGTACAAACGCTCATTCCCATTCGCACGACGTAGTTCCGTTCACACGAAAATCGCGTTACATATCCAATTCGCGTCCGCATAAAAAAAAAGTGTTCCCTAATACAGTCATCGCGCTATATCCACGCCACGGACGTTATCGTATTGGGTATTCAACGCTTGGGAAGGATTCAATACACCAAGTCGAGATTACCAAATGCTCCAAATCACTCCATGCAGCCACCTCTCACCACAGGGACACAATAAAAAAATATTCTGGATGGGCATCGACGTTCATCCAGTGCTTTACGCAAGCAAGCTTCCCCAGACACACAAGTGTGCTTTCACACTCAATGGTGCGAACACCCACACAGACTTATGCGGTTTGTATGCCCTGAAATATACAAAAACAAACCACTTCTGACCCCCCCCTCCCCCTCAGCCCAATATATCTTTTTACAGACTGTTTGTGAAAGTGCCTATTGCGAGCACCTATTAAGGTGCACCACTCCCGACCACCTTTGTCTCCCCAGTGCTGATAAAACACGGCGCGCCAGGTAGACCGAGCAAACAAATTGAAAAGCCCAGAACCAGATTTTAAAAAAAAATCACTCTCCCACCAATTTTACCCGTGGCTGGGTATTGAACTCGCGTCTGCAGGTTGAGAGTGCAGCGCACAGACCACGGTGCCACTACTGCCCACAAAATGTGCACACACCTACAGTAACGAGTACGATTCACCATCTTCAAGACGTCAAATTGCACATGTACGCAACGATCAAAAGATGCAAAGGAACACTCGCAGGGCTCAAAAGTCACACTCCTCCCACACGTGCCGATAGTCATGCAGCTCACGTACGACGGAAAAGGTTTCCTTAACTGCCGATGTGGATTCTCTGCATTGTTATATTCTGCAATGTAACAGTACAATGAAACACCATTGACGCTGCTTTAGAAAAAGGCAAAAAATATATTTAAAAAATTGTAGGCGACATTTAGTAAAATGCCCCCCCGGCTTCAAAGCCCATTTATGTATAAACGAATTGTACATTCATACCTTTTCACGTACTGGACGTTTTACCTACCAAAATCGCCTTAAATTGGTCCAATCTTGGGTCGGATCTTGGAACGCAACAAGCAGGATTTGAACGTAGGATTCGGGAGAATGCCAGGCGTTGCGAGTTTCAGTTGTTAGATGGCCAGCAGATGACAGCGCACGTTTGCACTGGACGTGTAAACGTCAGATTCAGGAGATACAAAAAGGTGGCCAGGCATCATGGTTCTGGCCATAATCGCCCTACCGAGCGGCAATGTGGTTTGGTCAGCGCATTGTGCTACAAAATAAAACCCGGTGGCTTGCCTTCAATTCCCACTCATGGGCAACGAATATCTAAACCGGTCATGGGCCTCCATGTCTTTGGAAATGCTCTTTGAAGTGCATTTCCCCCCCCCCCCCCCCGTGTTAAAGGCGACTGAAATCCTCACTCATCACATTTTGTGCTTCTTACACCCTTGCTTGACTTTTGCGAGTAGTGGCTGCGTTGTTGCAAGAAGCGGTATCAAAGCTGTCCGGCGACGCCGCGCTACGAACCCGGCGTGCCCGAGTTCGATTCCCGCTCACGGCCAACACCGGTGACGAATTATCCGAACCGGTCCTGCGCCTTCCCGAGGTCGACCTCGGCCTTCACACGGGAAGCCTGCTGCGGCGGTGCGTGAACATCGCCGTTAGCGAGACAAAGGCGGCCGGGCGGTGTGCTGGCCATTCTCCCGCTCGTGGTGCCATGCCGGCCTTCATTCGGTGCTCGCTAACAGCACTTGCCCCTAATGGTCTTTTAAAGGCTATATATGGGGGGGGGGGCAGGCGGGGCGTTGTCTTTGTGGGTCGGAGAATGTTGGTGCAGTGGTACTGGAATGTTGCTAAGATGCCAGTGACCGGGGTTCGTTCTCAGTTATCCGAACCTATTCTTGGCCTCTCCTAGGGTCAACTCGGCATTAAAGGAGTGCGCTTATTGTGGAGGAAAAGCAACAGCTCTAAATGAAAAAAATAGAGGCAAGTTGTGGCGCTGACCCACATCACTCCTAGACATGCGCGTAAATCCTGCTACGTCAGACCGACAAAATAATGGCAAATGGAAAATTGCCACTTAAGGTTACATAACACACAATCATGTTTTCAACTCTGCGTTTCCAGACAGGTGAAATAGTTATGAAACACGGCAATGGGCACATGAAGATCCCTCCCTATAGCCTGAAAAGATTGTTGGGGAAAGTGCTGTTAAGCGAGCACCAACGAAGGCCGGCATGGCACACCAGGGGGTGGGTGGCGAGCACCACGCCCGACCACCTTTGTATCCCCATTGGCAATGTTTACACATCGCACCAGCTACTCAATTGAGGCAGAGTCTAATTCGGGGAGGACCAAGACCGATTCAGATAATCGTTACCTGGTGTCGGCTGTGAGCGGGAACTAAACTCAGGCTGCCGAGTTCATAGCACAGCGTGCTAACCGTTGCACTTCCACTCCCCACAATGTGCAAACACACACACGCGCACACACACACGCACGCACACACTTATCCACACGTAACGAAAAAAGATCCGAAAATCGCAGCCACAGCTCAGGGCACACGTAAGAGCGACACGATATCTCAATTTCACATTGGAAACCCTCCTCTCTTGTTCCTCTTGTTACACCAGTAAGGGGAGGTTTCGGCGAGTGGTGCACGTTTGCCGGGCGGAGGAGGGCGCACTGCAGTGGACACCCAGAGGCCAGCCACCAAAGCCAGACAGATGGTGGTGGCGAGACCAAGCGCAGCCACCGGAGGTGCCAAGTGTCGACCGTGCAACAGCTGTGGGATCTTGACAGAAGGCAGTGA